CCATTGAGCTACCGAGGAATACGAAGTCGACGTCGATGCAAACCGGGGAGACAAGGATTGACAATCGACCTGTCAAGTTATCTCACAGGTTGCCGTCGTCTGATCTTTCAATGCAGCCGCCTCTCCGGTTGGCTGAAAGAAGGAGACAGGCGGGAAGCCTATCAGGCTCAGAGTCATCAAGAAGCAACCTTCGGAGTCCACCTCAGATAAGAGCAGAAGGAACACAGCCAAGTGCAACGACCGCTAGGATCAAGCATGCATATCCCGGAGATAATGATAACGGGCCTTTGAACCATAAGCAGCGCTCTGGTCCCAGACGGCCAATCAGATCCGAGAGCATATTCGCTGGGTTTGATAATTCGAGCGACGATGACCCCAAGAACGTGCAAGACCACTTCAGCGATGACGAATTCCTCAATGCAGCTCCCGTACGGAAGACACTATCAAAAGTGCAAAATTCATGGAAGTTGGTACCGCATCTCAAGGACTCGGTCTTGGAGAGGTTGGAGTCTGCCTCTGAGGAGGTGGAAGACGAGAAGCATGTGAGCGTACCCAAAGCAGCGATTTCAATAGCGAAGGCTTCATCACAAACCACATCAAAGACGTTTCAGACCAGACCGCCGGAGAGCTATCGAAAAGCGTCGAGCAATGGTAAACAGCCAGATATACGACGAAAGGCTCTTGTCTCGAATGGCATTGTAGAACACGCACAACGGGGCAGGAACCCTAGCAAATCGAACGCCTTAGGAAAAGAGCCAACAGTCGCGCCACCTTTTCCTGTGCCTACGAGGTCGAGTTCTCGGAAGATTCCTCTCAGTGCCAGTGATGGAGCTGCGAGTCCTAGTCCACACACCGCGACCTTCTTCAGTGCTCGCCAGGGTCCAAATTACCCCAGGCCTCTCACCAAACGTAAGATACTTCGCAAAGTCCAGTCCGCGGCCGCGGTAACACACCCACCAATACCTTTGCGGCCTCAACCAACGCAGTCACTGTCAGCATCTTCCACTGTACCTCCAAGTCCAAAGTCACCTGCTCCGCGGCGTAATCAGTTCATATTACCGTATGATAGTGTCGTAGAGCTACCAAGCCATCCCGCACCTCCCCCAAGTCATGCAGGAGAGACCTTGGCCGAGACGCCCAGTGGGCAGACCAGTGTCGTTGATGCGATTGCTCAGACCATGGTAGGAGAGTGGATGTGGAAGTATGTACGGAAGAGAACTTCCTTTGGTATCACAGAGAGCGCCCAAGCGGAATTCGAAATGAGCCGGAATGGCGGCAATAGAAATGGCAGTGGCGTCAGACACAAGCGATGGGTATGGCTGGCGCCTTTTGAACGATCAGTGATATGGAGCAGCAAGCAACCTACGTCTGGACCTGCTTTACTGGGTAAAGGTGGCCGAAAGTGTATGTTGTCATTCGAAATATTTATGGGGATGCGCTGATCTCGATGTCTAGTTGCAATTCAGTCGGTCCTCGACATCAAGGACGATACACCACCGCCCAAGAATGCCGACTCTCAGGCCATCTTTGACCGCTCTATACTGATATTGACTCCACAGAGAGCCCTAAAGTTTACGGCAACCTCACAGGAGCGGCACTACATCTGGTTGACCGCCCTCGCATTCTTGAGTCATTCTACTCAAGGAATGGACGATCTTGCCAGTCCCCCGCCTCTACCCAAGCAGGAATATCAACATCTACCGTCGCTAGAGCCGATGACTGGATTCCGTCGGATGCCAACTCGAGACTCGATCGGTGTGGCCAAAATCAAACGGCGTCCGTCGATAGGCGCTCACTCATATTCGTCACCAATAGGTTCGATCGAACAAGAGATCATTGAAGGAGCGACATTGCCTTGGGAAGAAGAGGAAGCCGAATCAGGTGATGCAGCGGAGCCTCCGCAAGTGCATCGAATCGCTGCCCACGCTCGAAAACGAAGCAGCACCGGGCCCCGTCCAGTGCCACTGAGCGCCTTCCACAGTTACCCAAGCGTTCCGATGGCAGCGACGTCCAGCTCCAGTTTACAAGGCCCTACTTCACGAGAGAAGTACGATAGATATACACCTCACCCTCAAGTGGAATCGAGTCGCAACACTACGCACAGCACCCTGACCCGTCGTACCACTGACAGCAGCATTGCGCCATCTCCCGTGGTTCCGGACAATTTCTTTGATTCTGTGGCAACGGTACGAATGGAAGCATTCGTGGACAGAAATGAGAAGGAGTACGTCCTCACTCCCAAAGGCAAGAGGTACCGGACGAGGCAAGGGCGCCAGAAAGACCCGAGCTTTTGGGGCTTCGATGCGTCGGCCGCTAGCAGTGCATTGGGAAGTGCAAGGCTGAAATTGGAGGATCCCTTTACAGGGTTCTAGGCGGGGATTGGGTTGAGTTGCAGCGGCAGTACGCATGCAGTATTGCAGTCGAGGGACTAGGTGCATGTATGTGCATGGGGGGCATGATGCATGAGGTTTGGCGCTTGGAGATTCCCAAAGGCGTGGGCAAGACATTTGGCGCAAGCCAAATTCTAGATATAAGTAATAATGTGTTCACCAATCATATCATCCATATCGTCCATATCATTAATATTTCACATGGTGCCAAAAGGAAGCAGCAGCAGCTCAAGCCAAAAACGAGGTTGGCAAGTCGTCTTTGATGTATCAATCAGCAAGTGTTCGGTATGGGGTGGGGGGGAACAAAGCACACCTTCCTTGGCATTTGGTGGCATGGCAGTTTTGTCGCTTCCCTTGATTTTGGCCCGCCACCGTTCGCTTAAGTACCGTACCTTCCTTACCTTGATAATTAAGGGGCCCGCCCCTGGGCCCCAAAGGATCCAGCACCGCGCGTCAGTACTAGTACTGTGGTAAGCTCGGTAAGGTACCGAAGGTATGGTCCTCAAATTCCCTGTAATCTTCTTCTTCTAATCATCTTGTAATAATCCTCGAATTACCTACCGTATTATTTTCCACTGGGAATTGCATCCTGTAGCTACAACGATAGTCATATCACATACATACCTAGGACTATCAACAAGCCTCCGAGTGGCTTTCTGCTTCTCCTTACCGTACATCCATCGCTCGGCCAATTTACCCTTTCAGGGATCAAGAGGAATTATTGAAACATGCTCCTCCAGTGCTTCCACCATACTCTTCCTACCACTTTACCACTCACAGCGATACCTAGCTATCTTCTCTTCTTTGTTCAAGCACACAGGATGGATTCAATGTTTTATGTGGGTCTGTCAGTGCGGCGGGAATTGGAACTCTGCTATCTCTTTTACCTGCTTTGTCTCTCACTTTCCACCAATTTCCTTCCCTTAACCTCACGTGGAATTCCCTCTTTGTCCTGTCACTTTTCTATATTCTGCACGAAGCTTCTTGCACCTGCCTTTACATATCCATTCCTTCTCAGAATCTACACGCTGCTGATCTCACCCTCTTTGTAAATACCGCACACTTCGTCCCCACTTTTGCCAATTAATTTACACCGCCAACTCCAAATCGTTCGTTCAACTGAATTCATACTTATCGCAATGGCACCATTCACTGTCTTTACCGCGCTCGCAGGCATCCTGGCTCTCTCTACTTCTGTCTCTGCGCAAACTGGCACTGGCACCGGCACCGGTCTCCCCATCGCCTCTGCCACCCTAGGTGCCCCATACCCGCTTTCCAACGCCACTCTTCCCGCCGGCCCAGCTGGCACCGGCATAGGCCTCCCGACTGGCCTTGGCTCGCCCTCTGCCCTCCCTTTTAGTCTTCCCGGGACCAGTCCAAGTGGCCTTCCGGGAAGCCCAATCGAGTCGGGAGCCAGCTGTCCTGTCCCAATTACCGTGACTACAACAAACCAAGTCACCGTCACAGTGACCGTATCTCCCTTCTAGCGCAGCTGCGCCGACGACTCCAGCTTCCGTGCCGTATCCTATCCCTGGCAGCAGTGGTTTGCTGGTGGGAACTGGGATTGTGACTGGATATGGCACCGGGACCGGCACGGGATATGCGATGGCGACAGGATACTCAAAGAGGATGGAGATGAGAGGGTTAAAGCAGGAGAGGAAGGAGTGGAAGCGGGGAGCTAGGTTTTGGTAGATGCTTGGAGGGCAGTCAGACCTTGATGGATCTCTGCTTAGCCAGCACCGGGATGTGTGTGCAACTTTACTTTCTGCACTGTGTAGCCGCTAGTCCGGGCACGTGATATGATTTCCGGTGGATTTGGGGACTGGTTGGGTTGGAACACCTAGATTTCGCTTCTTTGACATTGCTCACTTCATTCAGGATGTTGATGCATTGACTGATGACATCTTAATACATTCGTTTGGTACGTCGTGGTTTGGTGGTGATCATTAGATGAATGCAGTGATATTGAAGCGAGGCAGCGAACAAAAAACGTGAAGATGAAACGTGATCAGAATTTCCAACGACAGTCTTCCATCTTTCACAACCTTCCTGCCGGACCGCTACCTCACACAACTATTCTAATCTCATCTGTCAGCTCCCATGACGAAACGAATGACTTGACACCGTCTTCTACAGGAGGCATCAAGTTTTTACCGAACCAAGGCGTTTCGTGGTAGGACTTCTTGTGTGCTTCCTTTTGAACAATAATGCTTACGCAATGACGCAGTGTCATCTCCTCACCGCCACAACCACCATCATCACTACCGCGCAATTGACGTTCAAACGTCTCCACAGAGCATCATTTACCATCTATCATCATCATGGCTTCCTTTCCATTCTTCCGCCTGCCACCCGAAGTCCGCAACATGATCTACCGGCTCCTCTTCGAGACGGCGCATGAGGACAAGACTGTGACGCCAGACCCTACGGGCTCTCGTCGTCGAAATAACCTCGGTCATAGAACCTTGAACCTCAGTGACTCTCTTCCGTTCTTGAGGACTTGCCAATTGGTGCATGGGGAGGCCACCGCTGTGCTCTATGGCAACAATGTCTTTCGATTTGATGATCATCCCCACAACAGTGATGAGCATACGATAGCCCGCATTCAACATGTCTGTCCCTTACTGCGACTATCTGACGATGTACTTTTTCCTTGTTTCAATTGGAAAGAGCAACCGAGAAAAGCTTCAGCACATCCACCTTGACTTCTCGAAGACAACGTTTGTCCAGTACCCCGAGGAAGTTGGTATTTACGGGAATCTGCGCCTAAATGCTGGTGCCAGTTTCGTTGGTGATGCAGTCGAGCTGTTGGCTGCCTCGCACAACCTCCAGACCGTCAGTGTATCATTTGATGCCACATCTGTTAGCCAGAAGGACAAATGGATTTACTCATCTGCAAGGCTGGTCTATTTTTACACCTGTTCAAAGCTGGCTCGCAAAATTTCCGCAATCACGGGTATCGAGCAATTCAAATGCTCGAGAACCTATGAAGCCTGGGAGGATGAGTATGATGCAGTGGCCGAACTTTGGTGTCAGGGAATCAAGGACATGAAGGCAAAAATGGAGGTTCGATACCCCCCGCGGTTGAACCCGCTCTCCAGGCTCACATATGATAGAGAACCAATTGCGCAAGCTGAAAGTGGTGTCATCGAGGACGCTGCAAGGGCTGGGTCCACTGACGATTGGAACGCCACCGAAAGGATCTGGAATCTTTGACATCTGAAGAAGGCTACCACGACAATATGGTCGGAGGCCCAGTCCATGCCCACATCGAGAAGACCTTTGATTCAGGAACCCGGTCAGGACTTGCCAGCTGCTTAGCATCCGGGACGTTTGTTCTTAACACGAGGAATATTTTAGTATAGCTGTATTGCTTACAATATGCGTGGCGATTTTGGGAGACTGATGGACGGCTCCCATTGCTAGGAGCATATCTGAGCTAGCTACAACGCTTCCACTCGCAACTGCAGTGTCTCCTTCCCCACGCTTCTGCTCAATTCAACAGGGACGAGCGCTCGATTCACTCCATCGTTCTCAGTGCGGTTCAGCCGCACCCACGCGCTTCGTTCTCCCGCATGCTTCCCAAAACGACCCGCTTTATGTCTTACTCTTTGTCTTGAGAGATAACTAGAGTGCTCGTACCCTTGCATACCTATCTCAAACCACAACCATGATTCAAAGCAGTGAACGCGCTCAATCGTACATCCGTCTCCATCAACAGCACTACCCATCTTGCTCTGACAAATATTCCTTTCACCCGCTAGTCCACAGCGATCCCTTTGTCAAAATCAGCAGTCTTGCGCGCGCCGTGGAAGTTCGTGTCCTTTTCCAAGGTACCGGTACCTTGGTTGTTCTTTGCCCCTTTTGACTTCGGTAGCCGCCGAATGGAAAAGCGCCACAACGGACGACCGATAAAGCTAAGATGACGCTAATGCAGGTACACGCATTCGACAGGCAAAAATTTTCATTCAGTGCATTATTGTCGGGGCAATCTCATTTTTCGGGGGTGGAGCTCATGCCCCCGAAATTTGCGACTTTTAGGGCGGACCTCACTGCTACTGGAGTCATTGAAAGCGGTGGTGAATGGTAATGGGCCTGCATTGATTGGCTATGTGATGCTGTTCAAGTGTCGCTACATACGCATCAAAACGCTCCACATCACCACTCATTTCCTGGTTCTCTGTCAACACACATCCTCCCAACAACCCCGTCATATTCGCCTCCCTGTGAATAAGAGCATTAGATATTACTGCCATCATAGTGTAATGAATATCGCGACTAGATGCGCCATATTGAATTATCGAACCATAAATAGTGGGTATCACCGCGCGCGCATATCCCCCATCTATCCCATGGGAGGAGTAGCGCAAGCAAGCAAGGCCGTCTAAACAGGAAGCCACAAAGCTAGGAAACTCGTTGCTCCACCCTCCATCTACAGGAGGTAGGCAGCGAGACCGAACAGAGCGACAAGGCTGACGCTGGAAGCGGCCACTTTGTTGGCGGCACCCTTGAAGGGCGTCTTGGCCACTGGAGTGGTGGCCGGAGTGGAACCCAGCGAGGCCGAGGGAGCAGACAGAGAGGCGGTGCCGGCCGCAGCAGTACCAACAGGGACAAGGGTGGTGCTGTTGGACACTGGGTACGGTGCAACGGGTACCGCGCTGCTGAGTGGGACCACGGGAGCAGCTGGGGCGGTGCTGAGGATGACGGCTGGGGTCGAAGAGCTCGCCACGACGACGGGGGCGACCGGGGTGGAAGTGGCTGCCTCGACCGGGCTTGGGGTGGACGAAGGCGCCACGACGACCGGGGCCGAGGAAACGACTGGGGTCACAAGAGGGGCAAGCGGGGTCGAGGAGACGGCGACGGGGCTTGCGCTGGTTGCAACGGCTGAGTGCGTCAAGGTGCAAGGGCAGTCAGTGATTGTCAAAGTCGTGGCCTGCGAAGGGGAGGGGAGAGTTTGTTAGCCAATGTCCACAGATCGACCGGTGGCCGCGATACTACGAAGAGTGCCTCGCTTACCTCTGTGACAGTGTGGATCTTGCCATTGATAGACAGAGAGGTGGCTGATGAACAGTATGTGGTCAGAGTGCTGACAACCTCGTAGGAGGTGGCATAGTCTCCAGCAGACACACTGGCGGCAAGGGCAATGGGAGCAGCAATGATTGAGTAACGCATTTTGATGGTTGATGTTGAGCGGATTTGAATTGTGTAGTATTTCGATGGGAGTGCAGATGATGCTGTTATTAAAGAGCGTAAGATATGAGAAGGTAGCTAAAGAGTGTAATCGGTGAAGACCGGGAGTTGTTTGTGTGTTGAAAGGATGGATGCAGGAAAAGAAGAGAAGAAAGAGAAGAGAGAGAGGTGCTGGTGGAGAGTAGCAAGTTCTTATGGGCCTGGCGACGACGCGAGTCCCCTTTGTTAAGGTAGCCTCGTGTTCGGCAGCGTTGGAGTCATTCGACTTGAGCTCTAATTTCCGAGCTAATCTAAGGGCTTTCACTGAATCACGCTGCTTTGAAGGGCTGCTTTGTTGATTACCTTACCTTACCTTACTTGCATTCTTCATCTTATCATCTATCAACCAATCGCGCCATGGAAGGGCCAATCTTGCATCGGTACCTTGCAGTAGCCTCAGAACCTATCCTATCCTATCCTGCGCAAGCGTGAGGAAGCGCAAAACAAGCTCCTGTGAATTTCAAGCGGGTAATAATAACAGCGAGAGAAGAAGAAAGATTGCTTGAGTACCTACCTAGTTTGAGCAGTGGAAATTGGATGATCCACTTCAGCACTTCAATTGGATATTTGGAAGGCGTGAGGCCGACATTCTCCTTCCGCCTGACGCACCACAATTGCGAGCTGCTTGATTCAGTGAAGACGCAATTGGCTGCATGTTCCATTTCTTCATTCGGACTGCCTTGCATACCCTCAGTGTCTTCACTGGGAGCCAAGTGAGCCGTGAAAGTCCTCTCGGTACGCGCCCGTCGATACAGGGTCTAGGCTTCCGCAAATTGAGCCATAAATCTGCTACTAGATAATTCGATTGCTATTCATAGCAGCTTTGTGGATTATCGCTGTATGGCGCGACGTCCGGTCCAACGCCGGAGATTGAAAGCATCTCGAACTTTTCGTCTTGCATGAACCACGCGGCTTTGTATGGCCCAGATAATGCTGACCGCCCCGTGGGTTCATTAAATTGAACTTTATGAGTGCTCCCAATGCCATTGAGCCGCTGAAGGCTTCCGATCTCGATGAGCACGACAACGTTTCCTTTCTGTAATTGGCTTCAAGGTTCACTACGTTTCAACCAACACCAACTCATACATCAAGAGACCAATTAGACTCCCGCTTTATTGGCTTTCCCATCACCGAACGGCTTGAAAATCGCAGAAGACGATTCAACACTGATGAAAAGACCTTCTAGCTGTGCACCTTCAATGGCCATTGACCTCACCGTTGACATACTTCCCCTTTGGCTTCCCCTTGTCGAGCGCCTGGCTGGGGCCCATTTGCGCCAACCACGTAGGGGGCGAAATTCCTGTCTGCTCGTTGATTGTGGAGAAAAGCGGAGGGAGGCTCTGCATAATATTCCGAATGGCTCCCGTACCATCGCTCGAAGAGCCAGCGCTGTCCCCCGTGTTCCAAACAGTGATCTTCGGTTGGAGCCCGTTGATTGCTGCTGCATTTGCGTTGGCGAGCTTTTCGTAGGTACCGTTTTGCAACATCATATACTGAAGTAAGCCTTGGGGTCCGCCGAGCACCTCTGACATGTGACCGTATGCTTTGGCCATCTCAGTCATCGCTTCTGCCTCTTTCTTTTTGGCGAAGTATGATGCTTCAGCCTTGACTGTCGCGGCTTGGGCGGCTTGTCTTTCAGCATATAATATGGCTTCAGCCTCTTTCGCCACGCGGTAATCTAGAAAAAGGGTTCAGCTTCCGCCACCTAGACTTTCGGAACAGACGCCTCGCTCACAGTTGGCCTCTGCGTCTTGGCGGTGCTTATACAGGAGTCCTTCCGCAGATTTCGTGTCCATAAATAGTCGTGCTTCTGCTGCTTGCTTTTCTCTGTAGAGCAATCCATTGGCACTTTTAGTTTCGGAGAATAGCTTCGCCTCGGCTGCTTGTTCTGCGGATTCCCTCTTGATTGTGGCTTGGACGACCTCAGTCCTAATAGACACTTCCGAGTCAGCATATACTTCTTGGGCCAAGAATCCGAGACATGAGACAATGCTGGTCCGTGGATTGTATTTCTTGCGCGGGAACACGTCTCAATAGCTGAAATATAGGATGAAGAAGGGAACATTGGCTCGGGAAATACGTACGCTCTCATCCTCTCCAGTTCCATTTCCGCTCGTTTGACCTCGACGTCACGTTGCAATTCAGCATCCTTAGCTTCGGCACGACGAGTTGCCTGGATATTTTCTAGATTGATACCCATATTGAGCTTGGTCTGGGTAGTTGTGAACTCGGCATCTGCGGTGGCCTTCTCGGACTTTCGCTTGGTTTCCAAGACCGCGGTTTCTGCGTTGATTCGGCTGATTTCTTGCTTGGTCTTGCCACGCTTCTCTGCTTCCTGCAAAGGTTAATGGAGTCAGTATTCCGTCTTCAAGGCAAGAATCCGAGCAATGAAATATCTCGAAAGCTGATTAAAATCCTTCTGTTCACGCAAGATGCCCGGCAACTCGGAGAGTAGTCCGAATAGGGAGCTTTTGCTCGGGAAATATACATACTCCAATTTCGCCCATCATACAAGCATTGGCGACATCGACTTTGGCTTGGTTGGAAGCACCTTCATGAGCTTTTCGACTAAGGAACTTGAAGTATTCGGATCCTGCTGTGTCTTGGAGCTCCTTCACATTGGCATTATAAATCCTCAGTCCGAATTGGTTAAGTTCCTCCTGTACGTTTTCGATGACCTTGCTCTTGAACAGTTGGCGCTCCTTGAATATTTCTTCCATGGTCATCCCGGAGACGATCACGCGGGTCTCTCCCTCAATGATACCTTCGTAGGTCAGTGTATGTCTGGTCTTTCATCACCAGTGGTTGGAGGTCTATACCTTTGACTATGTCTTGGACATGGCTACGACCTGTAGCAGTTTCGCGTTTGCCTGCATCCCTCCCCGTGAGAATCTTAGCGTACTTTCGCAGAGAGTCCGCAGTGTCGTCTGGCCCAATGGTGAACACGGCAGGGAGACTGAATTGCAGCTTCTCGCAAGTCATAGCTTGAAGCGTAATCTCGAAGTCGAAAGGGCTGATGGATATGATGGAGTGCTTTTGCCATGGATACACGAAAGCCTTCTTAACAATGCTGATGTCCTTTATGCCACCTCCGGTGATGACAAGGTACGAATTTGCGTCAGAAACGTGGTAACCCATGGTAAAGAACCTCAGAGAATATCGGCTTGAAAGGAGTGTGTCTATGGGATAAGTCTGTCGGGGAATTGGTAAGAGTAGGGAATGTAGCAAGAAAGAAATCTATGGGGAGTTGAACGAGTAGAAATACTGTGAGTGGGGGAAAGTGCCTTGAGCTAAAGGGGGGTGAGAGAATTATGCTGAGTTTATTTTTTGATCCGGTGCTTGTGATCCTGAAGAAAAAGGCAGTGATTGCTTCTAAATCCGATTCCTGGGTGACCGCCGCCCGTAGGGCTGTGTTTGAGACCCATCATAAAGAATTGAAGGAGCAGTACTCTAGTTGAAGCGTGAGATTGAGTGCTGGAGATGGAGATGGCACGGCAATCCGCGACTGCCTTTTCAGCCCTACGAAGCACAGCGTTTACCTACCTTAAGCGTTTAGGGCCAGTTCGGTAACCACATATTTTGAAAATAACCCCTACTTATTTTTAACTTAGCGTCATATATTACAGGGTATCGTTCGGTTATTATATTTTTAAAATATATTTTCAAAATATCTGAAAATAAGTCTCGAGTCTTTTTTTTGATAAAATAAGGCTAAGTACGCTAAAATAATAGATATTTATAATTAAATATACTATATTATCAATCTCTTTTTCTAACTCTAATTAGTAAGTTTAGTAAGTATAAAGGATAACTCAGACTTTAAAGAAGTAGCTATTACTATTATTCTTGCTGCTTCTTAGTATTACTCTTTCTATTTTAATATATAAAAACGAAGAGCGTCTACTCTTTCTGATTATATCTATATAAAAGAGCTTCTTATTAATTATTCTACTGTTATATAATAGATCTTTTATATATTATCGTATATTCTTAATAAGTTATAAAGCTAGTTATTTAATTATACTTAGCTAGCTTCGTCTAGAAGTATTAATATAGCGAGAAACTTACTATATTTATATACTCTATAGACTACGATCTCAGTAATAATAGAATTAGTAATCGATTTCAACACTCTAAGAGTACTATATCTCTATATTTTTATAAAGTACTTAACGCTCTTCTTCTTCTTTATAAATATATAGTATAGTTATCTAAAGAACCCTATCTTACTTCGTCTAAAATTCTCTTAAATCTCAAATTTACACCCTATTTCGACAATTACTTAAAAGCACTTAATAATATATATATTAGTATATATATTTTAGTAGAAGAATATATACTATAACGAAATAGAAAGAGAGAGCTTAGTTAGAATATTCTAGCTATATGTGATTTTAATATGTTATTTTTATTATATGCTTTCTAGAATAAGAAGAATTCGTCTATAATTAAGGTTCTATAAAACGCTATCTTTAATTAAGAATTTATAATTTCTAAGAATAAATATTATCTCGCCGATACTGGGTATTTTAATTGTAACTTTCTAATAATATTATATATAAAAGTATGATATTATTTAAAAGAATAGAAAGGGGTTGAGATAAAGCCTGAGAACGTAAAAGAACTCTTTAATCTACGATATTCTCAGCTACGAAATATTATAGAAAGAATCTTCGATATACTTAAGAGGCGATTTTTATCTATAAACTTCTCTAGTAGAGTTCGATATTCTAACTTAGATATAGATATAATTTAAACTAATAGCCCTTTATAACTTTATTATCCTATATCGTCTTATAAATAACGAGAATATATATATTGCTAAGGTATTAGATAGTAATAGCGTAGGCGATATTAAGTCTCTTAAAGTAGCTTTGAAACTAATATAAAGATGAATCATTTAAGAGACCAACTTGCGATAAATATATGAAGGGATTATTAAGTATATCTTGCTTAATAACTGAGATGCTTTATTAAATAGCTATATTTTTTATCTATAGCGCATAAAGTCACTCCGCTATTTCGAATATATTCTCCTATCTACTTTTTATATTCCTTTTTAAAGCCTATTTCGTCTCCCACTCATCAATTTTCCCTTATAACCAATTATTCCTAGTACTTTCAGAAAGAATAGTATATATAAATATCATTTTCTTATTTAAAAATACGGTTACGGCCTGATAAAGAAAGCTAGAATTCTTTGAATCTATAGTTATTTATAGTAAGGCTAAAGCTTTCTCAATTATTACCTAAGATATCTCTTTTAATACGTTATTTTTCTTCCCTTACACGCTACGTATAGTCCCTTCCTCTCTATATAATAGAATTCTTTATTCTAACTTCGACTTTACTAATAGCGCTGTTATATATTCTCCTCTAGTCTTCTTAATTCTCTTTATAGAATTATTATCTTAATTGCGGAGCTAGTATATCTTTTTTCGCTACGATCTAAGATGTTTATTATCCTTTATTATTCGAATACTCTATATTCTCGTATAGGGTACTAGCTAGGGCGGAGAGAGGGGTAAGATATTCGTAAGATTAGGATTTACTATAATTTCTAGACTATATATAGCCTATACGTGACTTTCTATAGCTATTCTCTCTAAAAATAACTCGTTAAACTCGGTAATATAGAGGAGAGCTTAATTCGAAGTTCGCTTGCTAGTTTATTTTTCTAGAAAGAGTTATTTAACTATATAATATTCTCATATCTTAATGTTATACCTTTATTTATATTTATTATTAATCTTCGTCTATTAAGAGTATTTATATATTATTATCTTACCCTTAACTACTTAATTTATAGCGAAGACTCGCTATAGAGTTATCTAGACTTATAGCTTATATCTTCCTCTAACATTAAGACTTATTAATACGATACTCTATTAGAGTTATAGCCTAAACAATAGCTAGAATACTCTCCAGACTTTAGATTTAAAGCCCGTGTCTGCTCTCTTTCTAAAACGATATTATTGTATCATCTCGGAGTACAATGTTGTTCTATAAGATAAGTTTAAGATATGTCGTGTAATGACATTAGTAGGGATATTAGTAGAGATACCACAGCAGGGAACACCAGCAGAGATATCTAGTAGGGACATTAATGGCAATAATAGGGGTAATAGAGTATTAATAATAGTCAAAGCCTTGTAGTAGTAGCAGTAGGTGTCTCCGCCATAATAACGTGAAATGGTAGAAATTCAATAGTCACTGATGGGAAGATATTTTCTCAATTTTTTGCGACGTTTCTGACTTAGCCTCAAAAATAGGGTTACCGAACGGAACCTATAGATATTTTAATATTTTGAATATAAATTAGTGTCATTTTTAAGCATATTTTCATTTGCCAAGAGGTGGCGTTTTTAGTGAAAATAAGTAGGGGTTATTTTCAAAATATGTGTTACCGAACTCCCTTAGTCCGGCTTTCTTGCCAGTGAAACCCACTCACTCCATGCACAACATACTCTACGTGCATGATGCATCCATTCATGCATGAAATCTTTCATAGCATTGCCATCAGCTCATCACAGGGCCGGGGCTTGGATGACTGCAGGTTTGCTAGCAAGCGGCAATAACACCGCGATATATTCTGCCCATGAGGCATTTTCCAGCCTTGTGGAGGTAAAGAGGCTCCGGAGTGGAGGCTGTGACCAAATGGCTCGATGAGAAGGATTCACTATCTTCTAGTCTAGACTATGACTTCGCCTCGTATAAGGATTTTTTCCCCTTCTCTCCATTCTACTATCTTGCTCATACTCAGCTTTTCTGCCTTCACTTGACTTTGAAATTAGAGTATTCGGAGGGAGACATTCTGACTCGTTACTTCCCCATGTGACAACACTGCAAATGAAACCATCGTCTTACCAACTTGGCACATCCTCCTCGAGATCAAAACGTCCTTGGGTTCCTCTCTTCGATCTATCACAACATGATTTCTAAGTCCGATGCATCTTCTGACGGCCTTCCCTCATATTCGGAGAGCGTGCGCTCTCCTCAACAGAACCACTCCCCTAGCTACCTTCCTCAAAATATCGCGGCTGCCCGTACTTCCCTGATATCATCGCTCCTAACCACCTACATTACTCCTCACCTGCACGAAAGCGCTCTTTCTGGCCTTGCCAGTACAACTCTTATCCTCGTTCCCTCAAACGTCTCTTCATTGCAGCCACCCGGCGATACCGGATCAAAAGGCGCTTCGGAGACTATTGTCGGCTTTCCCAGCTCTGAGAACCTTACAATGATACGGTTACATGGCCAAGAGAACAGCCTAGAGTTCTGGCGGCAACTGGCCGTTATGCAGGAGTTGGGACAGCAGATGCGTACCCACCTGCGGAACTCAGGGCATCGAGTCATCGGAGACAACGAAATTAGCCTTCAGGGACTGAAATCTCCAAACGCTGATTGGAGGACTGTACCGAAGGAGATTCTGGGCAATGGAGAAGTGAGGGTTCAAGTTGAGACAATGGATATATGTTTGAGGACTGAGAATGACATGGGCTTGTATGAGACGAAGACGGGGAAGGCTGTCGTCGTCAAAGTGGATGTTGGGGGCTGAAGCGAAGCTCTGCTCTGGGTGCTCCGCCGCTATAGAAGCATGCATTGTAATTATCTGATACCCAAAGCCAAATGAGGACGGCCGCATAAAGGACCGCTATTGATTGAATATCAGAATGCCTCTGAGTTTTATGAAGCCATCCAGGTGCGCAAAGGCCAGAAACCTGATTGTTTGGGCCAGCGAAGCGAAATACGACAAGCACGGTTGGAAACCCAAGCCCCCGGAATGACCTTTTGTTCCCTCTCGATCGATCTCCCAAACTGGAGGCCGCAAGACAATGACCTGCAGCTCCCAACAGGCCACTAGTCAAGGCCTGACAGGGAGTTGACCGAGATTTCTTGAAACATCGGGTCTGATTTCTAGAAGAGATAGCCTGACTGTCGGTGCTATCATGATCCGATAGCTTACCGAGACTTCTTCGGATCAAAGCAAATCAAAAGCCGTTCGAGCGCCAAATCATTCTATTAGCCTTTGGGGTCGGCCACTTTTCGATTTAGTGCGAGATTTATTTGCGCATCCGCTTCTCCATCCTTGCTGCCTTTCAGCTGAAGAACGCAGTGCATGGGGCTCTATCCAAAGAAATCGGATAGACACCGGTGATGGCTGCCAATCCTCCCTTTTCAGAATAGCGACTGACCCGAAAGGCGGATATCTTTCCTATCAGATGTCAAAACCATCATGACAACGGTCCTGCATGACAGCACGATGGCTGGTTCTCCGAGGAAGATGGCTTGCGTTTCAACTAAAAAGGACTTGAGCATTAACAAAGGCGTATTATCCAGAGCCCCAGCACCGAGCATGAGAGTCAGCCGCAGATGGAGCAAGGGCATGATCCCCGGCAGCACAAGGCAGACGTTTCGGATGCAGCGAGCATTCTCCGGTCCAACGGCTGTGACGAAGTTTTGCGCTTCCTCTAGAGCGGTCACCATTGACGTGAGCGGCATGGCAAAACAATTGTGCGAATAGTAGATTGGGCTAATCTCCAAGTCCAGTAGTCGACAGGTGAAGGCGACGGCAAGGCGGGAGGGAACCAGTCGTCTGTCATCTTCGGCATGGATCTGTTTCCCAGACCGAAGAAAGCTAGGGGAAAGTTGCCCACGAGTGTGCTGACTGCTATGCTGCTCAAGCTGGATGGCTCCAGCCGCTGTGACTGTGTATCTCCATATGAGATTGCGAGTTTCTGGGGGAATCTCTAGGATTGGGAATACAGGTGAGGATCTCTTGATCCTTGTCATGATATAGCGCTGGTTGTAGACAGATGAGGTCAAAATAAGACTGCACCGAAATATATCAGTGATTGAGTGACAGTCACTCCTTCGACTTTTGACTGCTCACCAGGCAAGATGTCAGAAAAAGTGGTGGTCGAAACGGTGAAAAATGCTCAGGGAATTGATCAAAGTAGCATCAACGGTAAAGTTGCCGGGCTAATCAATCTGGGACAATTTGCGTCATGAGTGACAGATCATTCCGTCTTTGATGCCCAAAAGCCACGTGAGAAGGAGAGGGTTTAGCACTCCGGACTGCCCACTATTTTGACTGCTTACAACTTGCCTGTCACATGCGAACACATGGATGAGCACCGAATTGTTTCACGGTAAATGTCAATGAGGAAGACTAGGGAAATAAAACGGCCCAAGAAAGAATGCTCGGTGACACTACAAATTAGGCCCACCTTTGCAACCACATATTTTCAAGATATGTTGGGATTTTGTGCGTGCTTAGCGCGAGATCCGGCTCAATACAAGCCTCGGGCTTGTTTTGAGCCAAGATACTTTGAAAACAGGTGGATGCAGAAGGAGGCCTAATTATTATACTCATTATCAGTAGCCAGCACATCCGATTTTGCATATGCAAAGTTGCTGAACGCGTGCTGGATGAAACCGTTGAATTCCTTGAATAATCTGGCTAGACTGTAATCTCTTTTGGCTCTAGAAGAAAATCCATGCTTGGCAGCAATCGCCGTACGCCTCGCTAAATCTCACGAACTGCAGCAGTTACCATTTTCTGTCCGGGAGCCGAGTAGAAGGCTATGCAGACAAGGAATGATGATCAATCAGATGCGCCATCCTTAGAACCCTCTTAGCTGCTGTCTCACTGCCATGATCTGAGCTCTATCTGCTGGAGCTAACTGGTCGATCTGCTGCTGGGGCATGTTGAGGATCTGCTGCAATAGTTCTTCTTGATTAGCTGGCTGCTGCTGCGGAGGCAGTGGCGGTGGCGGTGCTGGTGGGGGCTGGTATAGCTGGTTGTGTACTGGTGGCGTGGGCACGTGCATCTGACCCGATATCGGCGGGTACTGAGGGTAAGCCTGCTGCACTGGAGGGGGCTGATAATTTGGAGCTTGGCGAGGAGGAACCGGGTGTGCTGGAGGTTGTACTGGATGCGACGCTTGTTCGACCACTGAACCTAGGACCGAAGTGTCGACTAAGCCCATAAGCAGCAGTGCTTGAAATATCGCGTAGGCAAGCTGGGGTGCTTGTTTGAGAAGCTCAGTGGCTTTAGCTGGGTCGCCCATCACAAGTCCTTTCATTTGCGAGAGAATGTCGAGCAGCTGGGGTGCTGGGAGGGTAGACAGGGTTTTTGATATGGCATCAGGGCACGTGATGTTTGGTTGAAGATCAACGCCTGGTGGTAGAGGAGGTAGACCGCCTGGTACTGGAGGTTGGTACCCATTAGGCGGTGGGTTCTGTGGAGGGTGCTGCGCGTTGTATCCTGATGGAGCCCCATCGTCCTTGCCCCCCACATGCGAAAAGTCCACGCGCAGCTCACGTCCCATTATTTCGTGATTGTTGAGATTGCGGACTGCAGATGCAGCAGCATCTGTGTCTGCGAATTCAGCGAAACCAAAACCTTTTGGCTTGCCGGTATCGTTGTCGTAGACAAGTCGAAAATTTAGAACTTGGCCAACCTGTCCAAATATGTGGATGATTTGTTCTTCCGTGAGGCCTGAAAACTGTCAATGTTGTTCTGCGACCAGTGCCAGGGAGACTTCGAACCATAAGGGATGTTTCCTACGCCAAGCTCAGTCAGTAACTTTCTCATTCACTTCTGGCAATACTCACCAATAAACACTACTCTGCCGGCTTTGTCTGCCATCGTGCCGAAGGAAGCTCTTTTCCTTGTCCGTCCGTAGGGTGTTAATACTCTTCGTTTCCCTTAACAGTACTGTGTAAAGCTAGGCACAGATTCAGTGGAGGTTCAAACTACAACTGTGTCTGGACAAGATGAACTTCGAGACAAAGAGTTGAAGCATCGGGACATTTGACGGAGCGGAACGGAAGATTGATTTCCCGAAGAGAAAATGAGCTAAATGTTCTCCGCGACTTGATGAACAACGCAAATTCTACGTCCATCGCAATTTCTTCAGAATTCTTCGAGTTCCGCGTAGAGCTTCAAGATGGCACAAGACCCAAAGGAAATGTGGCGGAAGTTGCAGCAGAAGGTGGCCTCAGCACAGCAAAAGGGTAGAGGAGGCTTACCAGGCGGTCCTAGGAATTTTTTTGGTGGAGCTGCTGGCCTTCTACTGCTTGGAACTGGTGTGGTGGTGGTCAACAATGCGCTATTCAACGGTATGCAAGACTACTCTAAAATAACGAAAGTTCAGCTGATGTTTTCCAGTGGACGGTGGTCATCGAGCTATCAAGTACACAAGAGTAGGTGGTGTACAGAAAGAGATATATAATGAAGGTACTGTTGCCATGTCATGACACGGTCGTTCCACGATGCTCACACCATCTAGGAACACATTTCAAGATCCCCTGGTTCGAGACTCCCATAACCTACGACGTCCGCGCCAAACCTCGCAATGTCGCCTCCCTGACTGGAACCAAGGATCTGCAAATGGTCAACATAACCTGCCGTGTCCTCTCTCGCCCTGCAGTCAACGCTCTTCCTACAATATACCGCACCCTGGGTACCGACTACGACGAGCGAGTCTTACCCTCCATCGTCAACGAAGTCCTCAAGAGTGTAGTTGCCCAATTCAACGCAAGCCAGCTTATTACGCAGCGTGAGAATGTTGCGAGATTAGTGAGGGAGAATCTTTCGAGGCGAGCACAAAGATTCAGTATCATTCTCGATGATGTTTCGTTGACTGTACGTCCATTGCTTCGTTTCCTCCTAATGTACGAACAAATACTGACTCCCGCCATTACTACAGCACCTAGCGTTCTCTCCCGAATTCACCGCAGCAGTCGAAGCCAAACAAGTCGCCCAGCAAGAAGCCCAACGGGCTGCCTTCGTCGTGGACAAAGCGCGCCAAGAGAAGCAAGCTACAGTTGTACGAGCCCAGGGTGAAGCTCGCTCTGCGGAGCTCATTGGCGACGCCATCAAGAAGAGCAGAAGTTATGTGGACTTGAGAAGGATTGAGAACGCCAGGAACATCGCAACGATCTTGCAGGAGGCGGGCGGAAAGAACAAGTTGTATTTGGATGCAAATGGCCTGGGGCTCAATGTCACGGAGGCTTACGAGGATAAGAAGCCGCATTCATAGCAAGGCAAGGAGGAAGATGGTTCTGCGCGCTTCCGTTCACTTCGCCCTCCAAAACATCTCTCACTTTAAATCCAAGCGTGGGCTACGGTTGGCACTCAGTATACCAAACTTATCAGCATTGGTCGCGCTGTAACTGTATCAAAGCTTGCTCAACAAGATGATAATGCTCTGATACACGTTGCACCTACAACAACTTTTTATATGCGCTAACTATTTGCCGTATCGTGCCTGTGTGCTGCCATTGCCATCCGAAAATTCGTACGCCCCGGCGCAAAACTTTTATGCTTATGCCTTATGCCCTTTGCTTTTCATGCTTTCATGCTTCCTCCCTAAATCGTCATGTCACATCCCGTACAACTGTCTGGGCGTGCGTGACGGGTACAACCGCAATGGTAAAGTAAATGAAAAATATGAAACCAATGTCGCCTGAACTTACTGTCCCATCATAGTAGTCTGCACATCGAAAATCTCATTCCTCCAACCACCTCCCACAGTGGCGTCGTCAACCCTCTCTGAAGCTTGCCTTGCCTCTTCCTCGTACAATTTCACCACACTTCCTGGTGCATAAACGCCTTTGAAAACGCCCTTGCTCGGCGTCACGCCCACTGCTGTGTATACATCCGGATCCTCTGCCGGTGTCAATCTGGTGATAATTGCCTTCACAAAAGTACGAATGTCTTGAGGATCCGAGATACGTGTAGCACGTAGTCGTTCGCGGGCGAAGAGCAATTCGCGGTTCATGGCATGCATACCATCCGCAATGGCGGTGGCAAGTTGCTTTTCCAGGACCTTGCGGACAATGGGACGAAGTAGAGGCTTAATGATCCACGCCAACCAGGAAAACTTACTCTTTCGCAGCGAATAGGATAATTTATGTACGTCTACACGCACGGCTTTGAGAGTCAGAATCTTTTCAAGCTTTTCTTTGCCAATCTCGACGTCGAGGGCAATATCAATGCCACGCTCATCGAGCTGGAAAGAAGCAATGCCTTCGTCTGCGAGACGAAATATGCCGCTATGGGCGCGCAGCCAGAAGCCGACCTCGTCCGCTCGGACTGAAAGGCCATTGACGGCGACCGTAACAAGAGAGGTGGTGGAACTGGTGGTGCGCAGTGTGTGGGCTTTGCGGATTTCGAGGTCGTTGTAGGTTTCGATGCGGAGTTTATAGGGGAGGAAAGAGGTGTTATTTATAGTGCGGCCCGGTTCGATGATCAGGTTCTCAAGAAGGAGGTCGATCTCTGGAACTGATATTTCGAGGCGTGGTATTGGGATATACTGCACTGCTTGGATAAGTAGTGGCATAAAAACGTTCAAGAAATCCTGGATTAGATCTTTATTTGTCGCGGCATGAAGAGGAGAGAGGATGTCGATGATTTTAGTAGTTGTCGTGATCAGGTTCGAAACATCAGTATCTTCGAGAAGGGATTTGAAGGTGATTTGGAACTGTGAGAGTGCCTCGTCAATGTCGTTGCGGAGGTTGGATTCTGTGCCCACCTCCTTCGCCTTCTTGCGAAGCTCTTGAATTTTCTTGTCTGCGGATTCGAAGAAGTCGGGATCGGTCAGCAGCTTTTGTATAGAGTTGCCAACATCCATCATCAAATTCTCGAACTCAGGGTCTGTCTGGGAGTGATCCATGACCTTATTGACCTTCTGCTCTAGTAATTGCCATTGTTCCCGATCACCGAAGGAGCTGATGAGCGACCAGAAGTTCTTTATAGCTTTGTCAAGCGCAGGATTGGTGTTCACGTCCTCTTGAGTGGTACTGATAGTCTCATCCACAGCTCTGGAGTACACTAGGGCGTAGCGCTTGATCAGGAGCCCAAGGGTCGATACGGAATCTGAGTAGTCGTTTCGTTTTCGCAACTTCATGACAGCCTCTTTCAAACGATACAACAACGTCTCTTTCTGGTCTCCAGATACATTGTCCTGCAAACTTGAGAATGCATCGCGTCCTGTCTTTGCCAATCCATTGCCCACAACCTTGGATATATCTGCAGCCCCATTCCCGAGATCATTTGCTGTGGGTGGAGGTCCTTCCTCCGATCCAGGCTCCTTTATGACTTTGCTTTCTTGCTCAGAAGGCTCCAACTTTTGCCCAGCTTCTTCGGCGACTTCTGATAAAGAGAACGCAGTATCTGCGAAGACCTGACGACCAATGGTGCCCAAGTCGCCGAGGAACATTCTGAAATCTGAGTTGGTGAGGAGTAGGCTACCTACGGTACGTAGGCTTTCGTAGGCTAAGACATTGTCAGTCAATGACAAGACGTGTTCCTAAGCTGGAATACCCACCAGCAGTAGCGTCTGCCTTAGCCTTGACATTTGACGCAGTTTTAGCAATGTCTTCAGTGTCCAGTGAGATTCTTGACTTGGATAGAAACCAGATAAAATCCTGTATTTGATCGCTGTCGTTCTTGTGCCGTAGAGCTTCGATAAATTGGGAGAGCCAGCGCTTGGAGAACTTCGACAGCAGTCGACCAGAGTCACTGAGATCAGGGTTTTCTGGGTTCAGAAGATCTGATGCTAGAAGAGTACGCAGATTGATGATCAGCTGCTCCGTAGACGGCATGAAACCAGCTGATAGGGCTTTCTGTATCTTGCATTAAAAATCGTTGGGAAAGGGGGGGGCAAGGGAATTTTACAATCATCTGATAAGTGTGCATCTTCTGGTGTAAAGACCTCTGCAGACTCGTGTCATCCGCATATTGAGGGAGCAAGGCCTCAGTATCCTCGCCCTTGGACTTCCGGAAGCCAAAACAAGAAGACATGGTTGTTGGTTTCGTGATGCGTTGCCAAATAAGAAGGCCTTACAAGGGTTTCGAGTGCAGAATCAGTTGGAAGAGGGAATGGTTGAAGGATAATATATCACTTTCTGCGCATCAAGCACAAGGTAGTAATACACTGAGTTGGTGAAGAAGGACGTCAAGTGGAGAATTTCAAGCCTGCAGTTTCAAAAGCCTGGAACCGTTCCGCCAAGACCATACTCCGTACGTCATTGGTAAGGTAAAGTCCCTACCTTAAGGGAAATTTGCACACATGAAGCAAGGTTGGGACCGGCGCTAAATGCAGATCTATTTTTTCTAGGTACCTTACTCCGTCTCCTCTGGAGGCTCTGGTGCCTCCATCTTTGAATAATAGGCAAGTGCTCGTGTGCTCGAGCCTAGATCAGCATCGCACGGTAAATTTTGCTATTTCTGATCAGTAATTAGTCCAATCCTCAAGTCTACCGTCTCCGTGCGTCGGTACGGATCGAGTGCGTAATCGGTCACCGATTGTTGGGCATTCGGCTTTGTTCTCGACGAGGAAAGTCGCCGACATCTTGTAGAGCGCAATTGCTTCCATGCGGTGAATAAATAAAGCGTCCTCTTCCCTCGATCCTGAGGCCAATGCACAAACTCGGGATTCGTGCTTTACGAAGATCAAACAACAATTGCACAGCATTTCGAAAGGCCTGCCAAAGCCCACAGAATCCAAAATATCGTGCTCTATCAAATACAAGATCAGTACCCTCGCAAGGAGTAATGTCAGCAGCACATCTACCGCCAGCGCCTGGCGACTACGATACATCCCATTCCACCACCGTTCGCAAGTACAATCGCACATACGGGCTTGTTCCCCCAGCAGTCGAGAGCTTAGACGTCCAAGCTTCGAGATGTCTGAAACAGCTAGAGCGAAGGCCGCAGAGTATCGACAAATATCTCTATCTCAGCAGCCTTCGTAGCACCAACGTCCACCTCTTTTATCGCTTGGTCAGTCAGCATATCAAAGACATGGCTCCTCTCATTTATACACCAACTGTCGGCGATGGCTGCTTGCAATGGTCTCATAATTACGTCCAACCAGAGGGTCTGTACATATCCTATTCTGATCGTGGTCACATCGCGTCAGTACTGCACAATTGGCCGCAGGTAAATGTCGAGATCACCGTTGTCACAGATGGTTCTCGAATCCTTGGGCTAGGGGATTTAGGCATCAATGGCATGGGCATACCTGTTGGCAAGCTTTCTCTTTATGTGGCCTGCGCAGGGATCCGTCCGGAGGCCACTTTGCCGCTTATGCTGGATCTGGGTACTGGAAACAAGTCACTAAGAGAAGATCCACTGTATATGGGAAGCAGGAGAGAAAAGGTTTCCGCTCAGGAAGAAAAAGAATTTCTGGACGAATTGATGGTGGCATTGACGGAGAAATGGCCTGGAATTGTCATCCAGTTCGAGGATTTTAAAAACCCTTTCCCAGCACTCGAAACCTATGGAGGCAAATATACATGTTTCAACGACGATATCCAGGGGACTGGTGCCGTAGTTCTGGCGGGAATCATCAGCGCTGTGAAACGAACCGGTGTTCCGGTCAAGGACCAGAGAGCCGTATTTTTCGGAGCTGGTAGCGCAGGTGTGGGTGTGGCGAAGCAGATTGTAGAGTATTTCATGCGAGAAGGGCTGACAGAGGACGAAGCACGGCGATGCTTCTGGCTCGTCGATACTAAAGGTCTTGTGACTAATGACCGAGGGGACAAGTTGGCGGAGCACAAGATCTATTTCTCTCGCGACGATAACGCTGGAAAGCAGTACAAGACCCTTGAGGAAGTGGTGGACCATGTGAGGCCTACAATACTGATGGGGCTTTCGACAATAGGAGGGGCTTTCACGCCAGATATGCTGACAAAAATGGGGCAATGGAACGAGCACCCAATCATTTTCCCACTCTCGAATCCATCGGCGAATTCGGAATGCACTTTCGAAGACGCCCTTAAACATACCAACTACAAGGCATTGTTCGCGAGTGGAAGCCCTTTTGCCTCAATCGAGCATGACGGGAAGCTTGAGACTCCCGGGCAAGGTGAGTAATCTTCCTTCCCTTAGGTAGTATAGGACCAGGAACCGCCTACGTGCGACTGACCACAAAATTCAGGCAACAACATGTATGTCTTCCCAGGCATTGGCCTGGGTACGATCCTTTCGAAGGCAACCACCATCACTCAGTCCATGATATACGCCTCTGCGACGTCACTAAGCACTTCTTTGCATCCTTCTGAAGTTTCTCAAGGCTGGCTGTATCCAGAGCTCGCTCGGATACGAGACGTGAGTGTTATCGTTGCAATGGGAGTCATCAAAGCTGCACAAGAAGCGGGCGTGGATCGTGAGCAAAGCATCAAGAGTATGGGAAATGAAGAATTGGAGAAATGGGTGAGATCGAAGATGTACGACCCAACTACAGAAACGCAGAGGGTTGAGGAGGAAGTCCAAGGATTGACGGATCCCTCGAAATGGGGAGGGAACCGAGGATCCCACCTGTAAAGTGCGAAGGCTGCGAGTCTCGTAAAAACGGCTTGAGCGGTTTTTTGAATGCCCAAAATTTGATGCATACTCTGACCAAATAGATACTTCATAGACTTCTGTTGCGTGGACATAGACTTTTAGCGGAGACGATTTTTCAATATTCAAGACACACACTTGCCTGTATAATACACCGACAACAAGAACGAGATACGTTAGGGCACTTACCTACTCCTGTTGTTTGGGGATATTTAGTTCGTATTAGGTTCGATTCCTAATGGCGCTGGTACAATGGTGTTGCGGTGCTTCTTATTTTCTACTCCTGGAGCGAATACTTTAGGGGAGGTGCACCAGTGCGTGCCCAAGAGACTCTTCCGCCGCTAAGCTAGCCCACCCGAGGTTCTATCTCTCAGCCTCGGGCCTTGGCTCTACCTTGGCAAACACCAGCAATCTCGCGCTGCCCACGCCTTTGACCTTGTAGACGCTGTGTGTTCTCATTGATGACTTTACGACTAACATATTGATACCCACGGCAATTTTCTGTTGACAATTGTGGCTATCCCCGCTTCTACAGCTCTTTGCAGAAGGTTACCTGTAATATACGTGCACCGTGCATACAGTGAGTTGTCACGCAGCTAGCCCACTAGATGCTGCATTCTAACATTCCGTCCAATCAGACCCAAGGACGATAGAACAATGTGGAATCGATTCAGTGGCAAACCTCATGATTCAAATTATGATTTGCCCTCACAGAGTATTCGGCGCGACGATGATGAACAGCGACCTCGTGCGCATCGCTCCGATTCTATAGCGTCTTCCAACTCGAATAAGAAATCCTCTTCCCGGGCTGACGATCGTGCTCCACGAGGCTTTAACCCTACATCTACAAGCTACTCATCTACTACCCGAGGGCAATATCCTGGAGCAGCATCGGCTTCCATAGCATCGAGCTACGCAACAGCATCCGGAAACAACAACTGCGAACCATATGTGGCGCCTGGTTTAGTCAGAAATGCCAGCCTCGCAGACCAAATGCAGAGGTCGAAATCCTCGCGCTCCTCGCGCGATCAGGACGAGGCTCGCGAAATTAAGGACAAAAAGCGGGACAAGACAGATATATTTGATGGCCGCGATCAAGATATTGAGAGACAGCGAAAGAGGGACAAGCGAGACAAGAAGGGCAGAAGCTTGAGAAGATCTGAGAATGGACTCGACGAAGAGGTCGGAAGCAGCAGAGGTCCTGACGATTTCCCTGATCAGGTTGCGAGCTCTGGTTTCTCGCAATTCCCTGGCCAGAACGACGGGGCAATACCAGGACCCAACGGCGCCGCACCCGAACATCCAGCCATGTCCTCCCATGTGCAAGACCAGTTTCCCGGTCAATTTCCGACTCAGTCCTCTGCTCCATACCGTCCACCACTGGCCGCCAGCGAAGGAGGTCCTGGACTCGCGGCTGAATACTATGGTGATGATGGGCAGTCTGTTGCAGAACAGCCTGGAAATCGAGCAAATACGCCATCTCTTATCATTGGGGCAGAACCTCACCTTCAGCCTGCATTGGCTGTGGCAGCCCCGCCACCAGAGCCGAGCGCTTCTGGAGCGGTCGGTGCGGCAGCGTCCTTCTTCAGCGGTGAATTTGAAGAAGATGAAGCCGCATCGACCCACGGCCAGCAGAATGCGTCAACATACGTCACAAGCCAAATCAGACCCAACAGCAACCACCATTCGTCTTCCGCCCCAATCATACCCACCATAGGTGGGACAGCCATAGGATCGGCTGCTGGCTATCTCATTGACAGCCAGACCTCAACACATCAGCAGCGCACGGATCATAAGTCATCAATAGGAGGAGCCCCTAGTGAATATTCTGCCGTCACGACTCAACGCCCGCCGTCTCAAACACAAGCCTCACAGTACTCCAGCAAGTCTCAGCCACCAACGCTAGGCAAGCAATCATCTCAGTCGTCTAACACCCCGATTTATGCAACCGGGGCAGCAGGCGCCACAGGGTTGGCGGCAGCAGCAGCTTACGAGCACAATCATCACTCTTTAGATCACAATGTCTCGTCAGCGCCTCAGTATTCAACAACCTCCATGGCTCAGCGACATCGCAATAACGGTCCCTTCGGCGCGTTGCTGGACTTCTTCAAAGATCCTGAAGGAGTAGCTCAGTTCGAAGAATACTCTCAGATCATAGGTGTTTGCAGGGACTGCTTCGCGCCGGGATCCTCAACAAGAGATGCTCCGAGAAAACATCTTTATGGGAGACGACAATCAAATGAGCGGTACGGCAGCAGTACGCGCGTCGACAAAGATAGTCGATATTATTCTTCCGACAATGAGGGTCGACGGAAGAGCAACAAGTCCTGGCAGGCCGCTGGTCTCCCGGGCTACGGGCTGGCAAAACTTGGAGAGAGCTTGTTTCAAGAGAAGAACGACTATGATGATACCTACATTGTGAAAAATGGGCGCTTCTCGCCGGATGGGAGGGATCGTAGAGCACGCCGTCGAAGTCGCTCCAAAGAGCGTTTCGAAATTGAAATTACTGGTGATGGCAAATCGGACAGAAAAGAACCGCGTAATGATACTTCCACGGGCACGAAAAGGCTGACATATAGCACGGGTCGTCAATCAGGAACGAGGTCTAGATCAAGAGATCGAAAGACTGGCTTGACCGAAGCTGCTATTGGCGCAGCACCAGAAACCTCCGCGGTCGCGTCGAGTTCTCGACGTCGGAGCCGCTCTCCGAAACGTACATCCGTTAAAGGTAAGCACAAAGGTCAAGAAGCCTCGCCTGAGAGACGCCACAAGACCAAGAAGAAGAAGAAGAGAGACAGAAGCTTCTTCGGGTTCGGCAACGGATCATCCTCGTCATCTAGCGTGGACTTGGCATATACTGGTGGTCAAGACAAGCACCGAAGCATTAAACGGTCGAATGGCAAGTCCAAAGATGATAAGAAGGCTGAAGCAGCTCTACTGGGCCTTGGCGCGGCGGCAGCAGCGCTTGCCCTGAACGATGGTCGTCAAGGTCACCGAAAGAATGGCGTAAGAGAACTCGTGGGGGCGAAGAAGACAAAAGGTCATGATGGACATGGCTCCGGACAAGCGCACAGACCCAAGAAATCTTATGGAAACCTTGACGACGAACTTTGGGAATCGGCTGCAGAAGACGACTACGAGAGCATAGATTCCGACCTGGCGTACGGTGCACCAGTACGCAGGGATAGTCGAGCATCATTTTCTTCCGAGTCATCGGGAACCAATAAGTGGGGTTGGCGTTGGGGCAGCAAAAAAAATCGGAGAGCGTCTTCCCCACGGCGAAAGTCATCTGACCATAGTAGCTTTCCCCCAGTAGCTAGTGTGACACGTTCAAGTCTAACAGGTGCGGCCATGACGCCTCAAGATCAGCCTCAGGGGAGTGCGATGGACAGTACAAGCAGCCTTCCCCTGCAGCATGTCTACCCAGTGCCGACTTCTGATCCTTCTCGCTTCGACGTTGGGCGAGAAGGTTCAATCGTGTCTTCGAGTAGACCGGTCATGTCCTCTCGGCCAGAAGCTGTTCCTCTTCAACATCCTCGCCCAATAGCCCCCGTTTCAGCATCAATCTACTCAAGTCAAACGGCGTATGATCATTCTCATAGTGCGCCAAGTGGTCCTGCTGTGTTCTCCCAAACTCCGTATCATCATCATCCGGGAACGTCTGATGATCGACATAGCACTCACGAAGCCAGCATACCTGGCAGCTTCCCTCGCGTCGAGCAACCGGCGGATGACACTGCTCGCGATTTTAGGATACGGAGGAGAGACACATCCCCTGGAAGATTCGGAGAAGACTCTATATCGAGCTCCATGGCACCTCCGCGCCGAACTTCCGTGAGAGACGACTCCTCTGCAGTTCGATTCGATCTGACAGAAGAGCAAGAAGAAAGAGATCGCCGCGAGAGGCGTCGGAAGAGAAAGGAAGATAAGGAGCGTCGCGAAGCCGAAGAGCAAGAGCAGGTTGAGAAGGATCGTCGTTTCTCAAGGGAACGATCAAGCAGAAAATTAGGCTCGAACACCAAGCCGGAGGAAGTTCTTGAAAAATCTTTTGAAAAATCATGGGCCGGTCCCGCCGCTGCTGGAGTCATTGGGGCCGCAATTGGTGCTGCGGCTGCAACAGACAGGTCGAGATCTGAAGAGACGCGGGAGGAACGCCGCGAACGTCGACGGAAGGAACGTGAACTCGAAAACGAAGAAGATGCTCTCAGCAAAAGCGAACGTCGACGAAGACAGCGGGAACGTGACGATCAAGAAGCCGCAATCAAGGAACGCGGTAATCTACCTGACGAGAATTGTGCGTCACGCGGGTACGTGGATCACGAAGAGCGTTCTCCGGAGAAACAGGACATGTCTGTATGGCAAGAAGCGGCAAGCACCAAGCGAAGCTCTGTTCATGAAAACTATGGTGCTTTCTTCACCCCACTCGAACTCCTTAACAAATCGAGTGACCAGATAAAGATTACAAGTGCTAATGCTGACGCTGATATTGATATGGAACAAGTCCCACAAATTGTCACAGTGGAGCCAAAGCGAATCCGCGATCTCTCTGACTCGCCGGCGTTCTCGCTCGTGGACACCGACGACAAGATCGATCCTTCAAAGTTGTCGTTTCCTTGGCAGGTACCAAAGCTCAGGCTTGTAGAGCCGACTCCGCCTTCAACCAGGGGCTCCACACCCATTCCCCGACCTAAGGATGCCGGTGACGAAGGCTTCGAAGAGCCTCGGAAGGAGCCTTCGTCTTCAAAGGTCAAGTGGGGAGATGACCAGACTCACGAATACACAATTATCGCTCCAAAGGAGGACCACGATGAATCCGTCGAGCCATCCTCTGGGGACATGAGCGTACCAGATCCAGTAGATTTATCAAGCAGCACGCACGAGCGTGACTTGCCGGATCATGAAATGCACCCGCGCAATGACTCAACAATGGAAAGTAGCTCAGCAATTTATGGTGAGGATGCTGCATTCGCGGCCACGTTAGCCGCCAGTGCAGAAGATGCAGGCTTCGATCCTTCTATTGTCATCAATAACCCAACATACCGACGTCGAGACTCACCCCCAGGATCTAACGAAAACAGCATGCCTGGCGGATTCGATGATGAGAACGAGCCACGGCTTCACAAGAAAGACCGGAAGAGAAAGGAGAAAGCTTCTAGACGTCAGAGTCAAAACGACGGTCCCAACGGGCGAGATGACGATACAATTGTGCAGGATATCATCAGCCAAGTGGAAGAATCTGAGTTTCAACCTCCAAACCAGGTTCTGCTAGAGAAACTAGATGACGAGTGGGAGAAACCAAAGAAAACTAGATCCAGGAAATCCAAAAAAAGTCAAAAGGGCTCTGAGTCTAGGGACGATCTCTTCGAGACGTCTGAAACTACGAGTAAGGCTCTAGATTCGGAGAGCCGAGACGTGTACGAGTCGCCTACTGAAGATGTTCGCTCCATCGAGTCAATCAGCAATAAAGCAGAGAGCGGCAGGAAGTCCCGCAAAAAGTCAAAACGGAATAGTACTGGCTTTGATGATGCTGCGTCTACCGTGCCTTCCCCATCTACGAACGAAGCTAGCAAAGACCCCAATTCCCAACCAAAGGAGAAGCGCAAAGGTAGCATCTGGGATCGGGTCCTTGGTAAATCCCCTGGCAGCCTTCCGCAAGAAAATGGTGCCAAGGACGTTACAGACCAGTCAATTTTGAAGGACTTCGGGGAACCTAAGATGAAGAGTAAAAAGACCGAGGAACGGAAGTCTAGTCGCGACGGGGACGACAATCACGACAGCAAAGATCGAAGCAGCATTGGAGGCACCGTGCCGCAAGTTTCAGGTAGGATCTCCCAAGACCTACCGGTAAAGGTATACACACCAGTCCCCAGCGGTCGTGCATACTCGAAAGAATTGCTGAACAACTCTCAGGATCACGGAACTAGTCTGCCCCCACTCTTTTCAGACGCGGGCTCAGTGGCCCAATATCTAGACCGTAGTATAAAAGCGGAGCAAGTTGAGGAAAAGCAGCCAGAGTCTTTTTTAGGGATGCGCCCAGAACCACCGCCGCCACCTGACACACGTGCTGAAAGTGAGGCGCTTTCCGATCTCTCGGAGACGACCAGCCTCCCAGCCACACCTCACGCTGAGTCTGAGACTCAGAGCCGGCGTTTCTCAGATGCTGAAACCTCTAGCCCAACACAGACCACGGCTGCTCTTCCGTCCTCGCCTACAGCTGTACCTTTCCATTTCCGTCGACCAGGCCGCTCATCTAGTACCGCTCGATCTCTGTCCCAAACGCCATTTTCCTCAAACGAATCGGCGACTGATCTCACTCCGAAACAGAAGACACGTCCTCGCTCCACGGAGTTCAAATCCTCAAAAGAAATCAGGCCCTTGTGGCCTGTAGAAAGACACCGATTACACCAGGAGCCAAACCCTGACGAAACTTACCCTTCTCTTCCTTCAAGCCATACAACCTCAAGGAGCTCATCTGTCCACAATCTGGAGGGAAGTGAACACCACCAGAGGGGACCCTCCGGATTGAACGAGGCAGAGCATGAGCCGATTCAATCAGCGCCAGTGACCTCCACGGATAGTCACCCAATACAGTCAGATCTGCTTGAATCACAATTGGCGACCTCTCCTACTGCATCCTCTTTCCAAGATTCTAGGACCGTTAAGGATTTGCTGTCTCCGCAGGCTAGTAGAGACTCGTCTCCCAAAGTAAGCGCTGAGGAAAATCCTCACGAGTCATCCTCTACCTTGAAAAGCGCTGTTTTAGGTGCCGTCCTAGGAGGCCCTGCCGCTGTGGCTCTGAATGAACCAATTCAGAACAATGCTCCAATACGGCAAGACCTGTTCCGAGAAGAGAACGAGGATTTCGAGCATGCTTTAGATGATATGGTTCTGGACACAATAGCTTACCCGTCCTATAATAACGCTCTTGGTCAAGGGGAGGACTTTGTTCCTCAAAAGACCAGGAAAGGCAAGAAGAATAAGCGGAAAGCCGGCCAATTTCAACAAGAAACAGTTCAACCATCTTTTGGAGGGGCTGTGGAGGCTAAGCCAAGCACGAACTCCATAGACGTGGAGCTTCTGAGCGCCGGAACCATGCGCCAAATTCAAGAACAGGATGCCCAGGATGCCGTGGATTCATGGTTCCCATCAGTTCTCCTGTCAAGTAAAGGAAAGAAGGGCAAGAAGGGCAAAAGCAGGGGGCTTGCTGAGAGATCACCGGAAGAAAATGGACCATTCCCAGATACTTACGAGCCTCCCAGGGACAACCTCAAAAACACAGTACCAGCAGGAGGTCAAGAAAGCGACACTCTGACGCGACAAATGTCTCGAGAGCAGATTGTGGATATCATGACTGCCGTCGCGCAAGATGCGAACAAGGATGAAAAGAAGGCATCGCAATCTGCGACAGCTGTGGTTCAAGAGCCTTTCGAGACCCTGGCCGAAGAAAATTGCAGCGAGTCGAAAGTCAAGGAGGACAACAAAGGACAAGAGGACCTCCCTCAAGACGGCCTCCAAACGAAGACCTTTTCCAAAGACGGATTCCCACAAGAAGACCTCCCCCAAGACGGCCTTGCACAAGACAACCTCCCTCAAAGCGGTCTTCAACAAGAGACTCTGCCCAAAAACGAACCCCCACACAGCGAGCTCCCACAACTCGAAAATAATCAAGAGACCCTCCCCCAAGGTGACTTCCCCTAGTCAACCTCCCTCGAGACGACTTCTCACATTCACAAGACCCACAACGCGGAAGCCTGCTATCTTCATCTGTTCCAGATCAGATTACTTTTACAGACCCTTTCTTAAAACAAAGTCACAGGAATGTGCTAGAGTCACCCAAAGCCAATCCCGCGTCTCAAGAAGAACTCGATCCTGGTGACTCGACAAAAGCGATATCGCCACTGCTTGAGCTTTCTCCAAGAGCAACACCATTACCCAATGTTGATGATGATCATGACCTCTTGGACGAGCGGCTAGAAATTCCAGTCTCTACATCTTTGGATCGTTCTGATGATAAGGAAATGGAAATTGCTGCTGGAAACCCTTTAGACGTCCCACATATACATGATCTATCTGCCGTCATACCTGAACTACAAAAACAAGCACAAGATCTTACGTCTCAAGCCGAGCAAGTTGATCCAGGTGACTATTCCGCCGTTCCGTCTAAGAAAAAATCCAAAAAGGGCAAAAAGGCTAAGCAGAGCTGTTCGGTTGAAGAAAATGAGCAGACTGAGATACAAAAAAGGGATGGACCATTACCTAGTGTTAATACTTCTACAACGCTCGAAGAAGATTGGCCAAAGGATTCGAACGACGAACCTGCAATGAAGGTTCTCCAGGAGAAGTCCGAAACGTTGGATGATGGATGGGAGCGCTCCACTAGCAAGAAGAAGGGCAAGAAAGGAAAGGTGACCAAGCAAAGCATTTCGGTTGAGAACAGCAAGGCCACCGAAATTCAAAGACGACAGCAATCGCTACCTTACATGGCTGCGTCTGAAGCGCCTGAGGACCATGAAGCCAGGAAATTGATTGACGAGTCTGCAGTCGATGTCTCCCAGCCCAAGACTGAGCCCCTAGAGGACGAATGGACGGCCTCCAACGACAATAAGAAAGGCAAGAAGGTTGAGAGGCAGAGGTCGAAGACATCAAGTTTGGGGCTTTCACCGGACGAAACAGAGCATCAATTCGAGCGACAACCAGACGCCAGAGATGACATGAACGATCGCGCTTTGTCCTTGGCCACAACGCGGACCTCCCAAGAAGTCGGTGCTATGCTAGGACTCGATGAAACTGAAGCCTCCATCGAAGGCGAGTCGAAGGAAGCCTTCCCAATTGAGTCTCACGCAGAGCATAATCTACGGAAGCCTTCAGAAGATCATATTTCAGGCAGCTATGAACAGAAACTGCCCGTCTCATACGAGCCAGAGACTCCGCACTCTAAAGACGCTCCTGGAAAGGCGCAGGATGATGGAATATTCCTGAATCTGCACACGCCAGTCGCTGGCACAAATGCTGCTCAACGTGTACAGGACATCTTGGTGGGGGAGAACAATGCGGAGTCTGCTACTGATGCTAAGAGGGAAGCCATGGTGGCATCCACGAGCATGGAAGAGAAAGCTACTGATAGGCCAATAAAAGAAGATGAACTGGTTGGGGATGCGCCAAAAAAGAAGAAGAAAAGCAAAAAGGGTAAGAAGAACGAAAAGTTCTCATGGGACGAGCCCGAAATCAAGCCTGAAACGACAGAGCCGGCAGAGGTCTCAGATCCACCCGGTGCAACGAACACTCCGCTCGAACAAGAGCCTACGCCTGACAGGCCAATGGAAGAAAATGAGCTGGATCGTGATGCTCCGAAGAAGAGGACAAAGGGCAAAAAAGGGAAGAAGAACGAAGCGTTCTCGTGGGACGAGCCCGAAACCAAGCCTGAAACGACAGAGCCGGCAGAGGTCTCAGATCCACCCGGTGCAACGAACACTCCGCTCGAACAAGAGCCTGCGCCTGACAGGCCAATGGAAGAAAATGAGCTGGATCGTGATGCTCCGAAGAAGAGGACAAAGGGCAACAAAGGGAAGAAGAACGAAGCGTTCTCGTGGGACGAGCCCGAAACCAAGCCTGAAACGACAGAGCCGGCAGGGGATCCGGGTCCACCCGGTGCAATGAACACTCCGCTCGAACAAGAGTCTGCGGCTGACAGGGTAATAGAAGTAGACGAACTGGATCGTGATACCCTGAAGAAGAAGAAAAAGGGCAAAAGAGGAAGGAAGAACGAAGAATACTCTCTGGACGAGCCTGATATCATGAAGCCAGCGGAGCCCTCCGATCTACCCGCTGCAATGAATCCCTATTCATTGGAACAAGAGCCCGCGGTCAAGGCGATCGACGAGGTTTTCTCTAAACAGTCCAAGAAAGACAAGAAGAACAAGAGGAGCAGAAGAAACGGTGTTTCGAGAGCCGTCAGTGATTTTCGAGACGGAGATGAGCCCAACATCATCCCTATTGAAGTTCCACAAGATGATGACAAGACGGAGGATCTTCCCCCAAGTGCCAGTGATTTCCAGGAAGAGATTGAGCCTAGTATCATCCTTACTGAGGTTCCACAGGACGACAACAAAGTGGAGGATCTTCGCGAGATTACCCGCGATTCTCGAGACGAAGTTGAGCCCAGTGTCGTCCCTACTGAAGTTTTACAAGATGACGGACAGGTAGAGGAGCGTTCCGCCGTTGATCGCCAATTAGTCACCCGTGATGTTCGAGAAGCAAATGAGCCCAATTGTGTCCCTATTGAAGCCCTACAAGACGACGACAAGATGGAGGATCTTCCTGCGGTTGGCATGCCACGCATGAGGGCAGAAATTGGTGCACCTGTAGAGGTAGTAGAGCCAGCAGTAACAACAAAATCTGCTCAGGGTAACGAAAATGAGGAATCACGCGAGGCACCGTTGGAACAGGAGCAAGACTTGATGCCACCAAAAGGCAAGAAGGACAGAGAGAAAACCAAGAACTCTAAGAAGTCCAATGCCTTATCCCCAGATGATTGTGAAGATCCTGCACTTGGACACGGGCAAATAGCCGAAATCAAGGCTCTTGAGACAGACGAAATAGAACATATGACTCCTTCCAGTGTCAAGGTTGTTGATGAGCCTGAAAAGACTGTTCAAAAGACACAATTAGAACAGCAGGAGGAAGATTACACGCTACCCACAAATGAGAAGGACGAAAAGAAGTCCAAGAAATTCGTCGCCTTTTCTCTAGATAGCGATGTTTCTCCCACACTTGAAGATGAGCCAGTATCCAAAACTGAGAATCTTGAGAAAGAATCGCTTAAACAGACACCCCCTTCCAGTGCCGACACGGTCAAGGAACCTGGAAAATGTGTGGAAGGTCTTCCTGAGGAGACGAAAGATCGAGAAGAGACCGAGGAAGCGCAACCGTTCGAATGGAAGAACGAGGATATCACTGCGCAGCCTGAGCAGGAGACTGCCCAGGAGCTCAACAAAGATTCCGAAATTGACAGCAAAGTCAACCCGCTAAATGCTTGGGGAGATCTCGTCATGGTGGGAGGCAGAGGCGAGGAACCTATGCACGGGTACTTCGACTCTGTCTCAGCACATGCCGCTGCCTCTGATATTCCTCACAAAGCCACTTCATCAGTGGAGTCATCTCCAGAGCAGCCGACCGTTGCGTCGGAGGAGATAACCGCTTACCGTGCCAACGAAATGAAAAGCAACATCGTCTCGGCAGCCGAGACCGATAATGACTCTCTGTATAGCGTCAAGCTAAGCAAGAAAAACGAAAAGAGGACAAAGAAGGCACTACCGTTGACTTGGGAGGAGGACGGGCTCTCTCAGGAGCCCACAGCTGTTCTCACTGAATCTAGCGCTACAGAAGATCTGGGCGAACCGTCGATCATCCCTGTCTCACAAGACAGCGGTTCTTGGTCGAAACCAGAAATATCCGCCGAGGAGATCGTGCCTACGGAGATCGTCCAGCCGGGTATGAGGTCAGAAGAAGATCAGAGATATCAAGGAAGTGTATTGGAAGATCCGCCATCTCAAGCGAGAGATGACATTCATACAATGGTTGAAGCTGAACAGGAAGAAAGCTTTGCAAACGGCGAAAGAACCAAGACTGAAAAGCTCTCTATCTACGAGCCGGAGGAAGATCGGTCTGCTGCGGATGACAAAGAACTTGCATGGGTAACGGCTACTAGCGCTGTTCAAGGTAATGAACACCCGTCGAAGCAGCAGCCTAGAGACGACTTGAGTACTGCAGGGGAGATACGATCTAAACAAGAAGAATCTGCGGGAGGAATGAAAAGGGACCAGACTCCCATTCTGACGGAGTCCGGAATGATTGAAGAGGCAAAGGACGAGGAGTTACTCTGGGACGTGTCAGTCCAGAGGGCCGAGGAACCCGAAAAACAAGACAAAGACGGGCAATGGGGTGAGCTTATAATTGGGAATTTGTCTTCCTCTGCGGCTCAGGAGGCTGCTCGGGAAACGGCCAAAACAGTCCGAAACACGGAATCTATCACAGATCTCGAGCCGCTTAGGGGTCCTAACATAGACCAGCCGAACCCCCAGGGGGCGTTAAAAGATTAGACGCACAAGAGCAACGTGACGACAACAACGAGGAGTATGAGAAAGAGCTTGAACGGGCATTACCGAACAGAGAACCTGTCGCAGATCTCGAGCCGCTTGGGGGTCCTGACATAGATAAGCCAATTCCCGCAGTGGAGGTCGCAATGTTAGACGCACAAGAACAACGCGACTACAACGAGGAGTATGCAAAAGAGCTTGAGCGGGCATTACCGAACACAGAACCTGTCGCAGATCTCGAGCCGCTTGGGGGTCCTGACATAGATAAGCCAATTCCCGCAGTGGAGGTCGCAATGTTAGACGCACAAGAACAACGCAACTACAACGAGGAGTATGCAAAAGAGCTTGAGCGACAATTGAGTCCGTCGCAGGAAGGCGAGCGTGCCGATCCCTCGCGTGATGAAGCCCATACACCTGTGTTCTCTCAATCAAGCATTGATTCGGTAATGGAGAGACCATACGAAGAAGAGCACAGACCGTTAGCACGACCTCCGGCTCTGGAAGACATCATTGAAGAATCCAGATCAAGATCTGCCTCGGTTCATGGTAGTCCTGTCGATCAGGAGGATGACTATTCACCTGTCAAATCAACCAAGAAAGGCAAGAAAGGCAAGAAAAGCAAGAAAAGCAAAAAGCAGCAGCCGATCATTTGGGAAGACGAAACTGCAACGCCGCCACCGGAGCCGGAAAGCGATCAAAGAGCAAAGCCCTCTATCAGATCCACAGAAGGTCCGGGCTCGCGGGACACTGACGCTGCTCGGCCCCTTGAATTGGAAGAACCGATAGACCAGCGGTCTCTCGAAGACAGGACAATAGCTTCGCCTACCGGATATCTCGATACCGCTGACAACAATTACTTAATTGAGAATGATGGGTCAGATGACTACTTTAATATCCAGCCAAGCAGACCAGCAGAGGAAGATGTGGGAAGGGAAGACACTCACGAGTTCCGTCGGGCTCTCTCGACTGGGCCACCGTGTTCTAGCAGAGATCGATCTCCAGCTCGAGAACCGCAAATAGATCAAGATGGTCACCTGAGAGATGACGCCGTCACAGCTTATGATCGAGATGGAAAGCTTAGGTCTCTTGCTACGGACTTCCATGACAAATTAAGAACAGAGGTAGAGCCAGCTGAAGAACAAGTCAAAGACAATTATGATCCTGCTCCCCTAAAAAGTACTAAGAAAGGCAAGAAAGCCTCGGCGAGGGAGCCAAGCCCTCAGACTCTAGGGCAGGAAAGTCTCATGGACCAACCCCAAGACTTGGAAACCCCAACCATGGACACTTTGAATGAGAGATCGACTTCTCAGCAGCATTTCCTACAATCTTCTTCACACGAGGACGAGCTATCCTCGGTAGCTGAGGGGAGACCCATCAGTCGTGGCAGGTCAGGAAGCAGGGAATTGGTCGCCGCAGCAGTCGGTTTAGGCGTAGGTGCGTTAGCAGCGGGAAGCCTCTCCAAGAGAGACTCGAGGAAGGAATGGATACCTGGCGAGAAAGCAAAAGAGGCTCGCAGGGGGACAGACTTTGAGGCTGAAATAGGCGAACCAGAAAACCCTCTCGACAGAGGAGGAATGGATGTCGAGGAACAAGAGCATCGCCAGACATCTGAGTCAGAACGCGCCACAAGAGCGTGGGAGCATCACCAAGCTACGTCATCTACAAATTATGAGGCGGCTGCAAGTCATCCGTTTGTGGGAGATCTTGGCCAGTCTTCAGAAACGCCTAAGTACCGAGACAGCGCCATCTACATCTCTGGTTCTCCAATTATCTCGGAAGAGATACCTTACCACCGTGCCGTACGAGACAGTGGTTATCCAGATACTGAGGCAAGCCCGGTTGTTGGTGATGAGCTCGAGAATCCAGACGACCCAACGGAGTTGGAAAGCGGTGTTGCCGCTGGTGAAATGGTCGAGCATGTGCAGCATCGGCATAGCCGGGCTCATGAGACTGACCAACGTCAAAGATCAACGTCCAGTAATCCATCCGAGAAATCTGTAGAGGCTAATTCGGACCATGATGTCTCGGTATCAAGGCCAAAAGAGAGACGGAAACGTTCGAGGCGGAGATCAGGGACTGCCTACGACAGTGATGACTCTGCGGACTCTGGCTTTGACATCCAGCGCCGTCGCCGTCGGCAAGCCATGGTAGCAGAGCCACGAGAACCTTCTCCAGTGAGCTCTACCACTAAGGACAGATCGTCGGCACTTTTCGATCCCTCGCCTTCGGCAAGGGAGGAGACAATCGCCAAACCACAGGATCAGGCTGTCTCGCCTCGTTATAATCCCGTCGGAGAAGAGCCTACTTGGTCATTTGACCGCGAGGAATCGCCACCACAGCGCTCATCCGAGGCGTCGAGGGAAGGTAGATCAGGCAACATTCCTGCGCTTGCTCCCGAATCAACAGACCACGACATATCTACAGGCAATGAAGACACAGGAATGTCATTGTTTGGAGGCCCCCAAAGTTATGAAGATGACTTGCCATCTCTTTCCAGAAGTCCACGTTCAAGCGAAAGCCGGGGTCGCCGAAGACTGAATACCATTTCGGAGGATAGCGCAGACGGATCACCGCTGCATAAGAAAGACAAGCGCGCTGTGTCCGACGTTGGATCTCCCGAATCAGGTGTCAAAGGTCGAAGAATGCGATCACCATCTGTCGAAGACGATGTCGCTGGAGAATATGTATCCACCCATGACCCGATTTCACGCCCACCTTGGCCCGCAGCTGACGAGGAGAAGCGTGCAGTAGACGAGCGCAGCAGAAGCCGCAACTCAGATCAGTTGTCCACTTTGTCGAGTCACCATAGCGCGCTGCCAGGTGTTACGCCGAGGCACAGGGAAGATGAGTATCGAACAGCGAGTGCAGCGAGCATGCGATCAGAGAGCAGCATTCATGCAATCATCCGGACACCGGATCAAGTCCGATCAGCCAGTGGACTGAGTTACCGTTCTTCTGGCACACCACCCTTGCGACGGGTCGACCGTAGCGCTAGCGGGGATCTGCGGGGTGCCAGCAAAAAAAGCGAAGCTAAATATCGCGCCAAAAGCAGCGCCGAATTGGAGGCTGAACTCGACATTGGCATTCCATCTTCTTCAACCTACGACCCCGTCACTGATAAAGGCAAATCCCGTGCCGATATGGCTGATGTCTATGTAAGTTGGCAACACATTTTATGTTAAAGTGGTAGTGATAGTGCCCAGAATTAACACGCTTTTGCAGGAGGGTTGGGGTGATGTGCGCGGTCAATCGCCAATGTCTCCGACGCGTCCACCAAGCATGCGCAAACGGCAAAGCATGCAGCTCTTGGATCTCGAGACCAGACTTGATCAAATAGTCTCGGAAAACCGACTACTGGCGAGTCAGAAGTTAACTGTGGAGAAAGCCTTGCAAGAGCAAGCACGTGATCACAGCCAGGAACGGCATGCCTACGAAGAAGGCATGCAAGAGCAGAAGATTTATCTGACACGAAAAGATTCCGAACTCAGCGAATTAAAGCAGATCATCGAACAGCTACATAACCAAGCAGCTCATCTCACCGAAGTCAACGAGGGACTTGCCTCTTCCCGCGGTGTGGATGAGGAGCACGAACAGAGGTATAATCAATTACGCGCTGAGCACGCACACACCCACGAGCAATGGCAACAATCCACGAAGGAACTAGGGGACCTCAAAGAGCAGCATACTCAACTATCGACTGGTATGGAGGACATCGTTCGCCATGAGGTGACTGTGGCCCTCGAAGAGAAAAATCTTGAGTTGCGCCAATTGCAAAGTGAACTTGAGAACGCCAAACAGCAAGTTCGAAATTTGCAACAGCAACTATTAGCGTCCAGGAATAGTGATGATTTCGTCGAACGAGATGAGGATTACTTCGATTCTCAGTGTCAATCACTTTGCCAGCATGTCCAGCAATGGGTGCTGAGGTTCTCTAAATTTTCGGACATGAAAGCGTGCTACCTCGCCAGTGAAGTTCGGGACGAGAAAGTTGTCGATCGCATGGAAAATGCAATACTGGATGGCTCCGACGTTGATGACTACCTCTCCGATCGAGTAAAGAGGCGCGATGTCTTCATGTCGGTGGTCATGACAATGGTATGGGAGTTCATCTTCACCCGCTACCTCTTTGGCATGGACCGTGAGCAGCGTCAGAAGCTCAAGAATCTTGAAAAGACGCTCCAGGAAGTTGGTCCTATAAGTGCTGTGCACAAGTGGCGGGCAACGACTCTGACACTTTTAATGAAGCGAGAAGCGTTTGAGAACCAGCGTGCCACAGATACCGAAGCGGTTGTCCATGAGATCTACGACACCCTAGCTACTTTCCTTCCACCACCATCTCATCTTGTGGGCCAAATACAGGATTCACTCCGCAAAGTCATAGATACGGCAGCTGATCTGTCAATTGAGATGCGTACCCAGCGTGCAGAGTACTCGATGCTGCCTCCTCTGCAGCCCGAGTACGATACCAACGGTGACCTAGCTCGAAAAGTGTACTTCAGCGCCCTTACCATGAATGAGCGCAGCGGTGCCACGTCCTCAAACGAGGCTCTGCAGGAGCAACACGCAGTCGTAAGAATGGTTCTTTTCCCACTGGTGGTCAAGAACGAGGATGATGACGAGCAGATTGTGGTCTGCCCGGCACAAGTACTGACTGCGGAGGGATCAAAGGGGAAGAAGACGGTGAGGGTTATGAGTGCGCAGGGAGGGAGGAGCGAGGCGAGTTTCGCGGGGAGCGACGTACGAATGGAGGGAGGAATGATATAGTAGGCAATTAGGCGTGGCAGATCAACAGCCTTTCACTGAAACGAATTAACGACTGCATACCTGGGGAGTTGCTGGGAGAAGGCACAATCTTGGATTAGCGAGCAGGGTGTATTGGGGGTTCTTTGTCTGTATGCATGGCTATATAATTGAACATGAAGCAAATCGAAGAGATGTTGAAATCTTTGTCCTCCTGTAATGAGCTAGACCTGATGCCCATCTTTCCCTCGGTAGTCGCCCAAGGCCACTTCCAAATGCAGCCCAGGAAGCACAGATGAACACCTGGCTAGATCAGAGCCCAGGGCCCAAGCCTACACCCCCTGGCCCCATCGGTCCAAAGCTCCTTGCCCATCTCACTCTTTTGTCTCTCGTGAGCCGCAGTAGCTCGCGTTTCCTGCGTGAACAGCACCACCCTGTTAGATCTTACCGACCCTTCGTATCTCAACCTCCAAACAAGGACATTGAAAGTATGATAGGCTCACCGCTTTCCCCAAGGATCAGCTTTCTCGCCTTGGGGCGGATACTCTTTCCCTCCCACCTCTACCTTGGGATCACAGGTGCACCACTCCTTTTGCGGATACAGCTCGAGGATATCGGGAACGTCCGCCGTGTCGCCGCCGAACCATGTCGCCCCTTCTGGGAACGATGGTCAGAAGCGCAATAAGATCGGCGGGGGAAATGTGAATGTGGGGAGACGGTTCCGTGGACGCGCGATGCAACCGGAAAGCTTACGGCAATTTGGGCAGGTCGATTTCTTGCCTATGTTCATGGTACTTTACGATGATGTCGAAAGTTATGGAAGCTCCGCAAAAGATGTTGAGTCAATCCTGTCACTTGTCGCGAATTAGACGGCCCTTCTCAGTTTCATCCGTCACTACCGCTGAATATCTCCTTCCCACGACTACTGTCGCCTTACATGAATCCCAAACATACGATTCAGAGCATGACGCTCTCTGTTCTATTGATGCCTTAAAGTTGACTCGGGAGACTATTTTGGTACGTACTAAGAAACAAAGGCAGGATGGAATGTCGGCAGCTCCGTTGAAACAAAGAAACAGTAGCGTCTTGACCTCGAACTGCTGTCATCCCCAAGAATAGAGGCTCCTCCGGCAACAAAGGACAATGGAAGATGGCCACGTGCATCACGTTTTTCTTTTCTTTCATCCCCTTTCCCCCTCGATTCGTCCCTCTTCCACCAACTCTGCTTCGACCACTTTCTGTTGCAGTACGCATAGAGTATTGCTCAACTCTACATCATAGCAGACAGCAAGAAGCCGGTCTTCTTCTACCCAATCTTCGGAGCTTTCTTCTTCTCGGCTTCTTGACGTCTTTTCCACTTCCACCACTGATCGGTTCGCTTCGTATTTTCAAGACGTCTTGCAAATGGGCAGATTCAGACCCTCTTTTCCACCCTTCGAGCCCTCCAGCCTTCGCAGACTTTCAGGTCCAACTTCTCCTGCCAGTCCTACATCGCCTCGCACCCCTCTACACTTCCCAAACCTCCCAAGCCCCCGGACACAGCCCCCAAATGCCTTCAACTTGAGCAAACAGATTGCAATTGAGCCCCCTTCGATGCCAATGCCTTGGATCTGGTCCTGCCACAAATGCCACACTCGGTACCATTTGGGTGCCACAAGAAGATGCCTTCATGACGGCCACTACTTTTGCGGCGGCACTACCGTCGACAAAATCAGTGGCAAGGTGAAGAAGCACAGAGCTTGTGTTAGTGAATTTGACTACAGTGGCTGGGAGGATTTTGCTAGATGGAAAAGAGCGACAAGTAGAAAAGGTGAAAAGGCTGGCAGGAAACACTGCGAAGACGAATGCGACTTTCCTAGTTCATGTCATTGGAAAGAACAGCATCCTGTTCAGGAGACCGGGTTTGGATTTCTTGATCCTAGCTGTCTCGACACGGAGCCCGACACGTCGTCAGTCGAGGGCAAACTAACAGTCCAAGAAAGCACTGGAAGTTATATCGGCAAAATTAGGAGAGCAGCAGAAAAACGTACAACGAAAGTAGCCAAGGCACTTTTATCACCAATAGAAGAAGAGGACCAGAAAGCATCATCGTCTCTTGATCCAAGGCCAAGAATGAATGGCCTCGGCCTCCACTTCCCAGTCATGGACTTCTCGAGCTCCAAGAATAGCGTCAAGGAGATTCATGGGCACGTGGACAAAGCAAAGATAAACCTTTCAATCCCAAACAGTCGGCAGATGTCAGGTCGGGTCGTTCACGTATGGGAAGATGATGTTGACATGACGGATTGGATAACACCAGAAGCCACCGAAAGTCCGCCAATCTCTCCTTGCGCCCGGCCAGATGCAGTTGAAGTGCCTTTCGACTTCGGGCTCGAGCAAGACCAGGGTCCTCCAGCATCTGTGGCCGATGATGATTCGCCAGTTTCACCGATGCGAAGTGCATGGAACTGGACGGCTGGCGGCATTGGAGTTGCGTTGTCGCCGCCTGCTTTGCCAATAGAGGACGAGATTTGGGATGAATGGATGGAAGATGAGATGGATGAAGCAGATATGATGTGGGACAGAGGGGAGACGATGAAAGCGGAGAGCGTTGGTAGAAGACTTATTTAGCAATGCACCATCTGGATAGACTTGTGTACTGAGTTGCGGAAAGCACTCCCATCCGAGTAGGTAGCACGAGACCCAACAATGTTCGAGAAAGGGTAGTCAGTCCTCGATGCTTTATTTGACCCAGTCAAGGGATGAATTGTGAATGAGGAGCTGCAATGGTGCTTGCTCTGTAGAACAATAATGATGCTCGGATCTACAGTAAAGGAATTATGAGTATGACACTAAAGTACCTTAGTACTTCACGCCGCAAATGGGAATGGCGGCGATCTGGAAATTGGGGACTGGGAATTGGGGGGACTGGCTACGTTTATCACTTCGACTAGAGGCTTGGCATTTTCGAGGAGTAAAGATAAGGACCACTTTATCCAATCACACACTCAGCAGACCTGAAGACGCCAAGACATCCCACGATAGCGCCGAGTCAGCTGCGTCATGGCTTTTGGCCAAGTACGGAATTAAAAATTACTAGAATTATTAATAAATGCACACAATCTATCGCCCTCTAACCAATCATGACTTCATCCTTTCTCTGACAATGAACTGAATTACTTAAATTATTTTAATGCTATATTATTGCTATTCTATTCCCCGCAACATAAAGTAGAGTACGCGGAAGATATCTCCCCCGCCTTCACACGCCAGTAACGGGAAAATATCAACTAACATCCATCATCTATCATCTATCAATCATACAATTGGATGGCCCCCAGATGATAGATCTAATTGCGGCGGAATGGCGCTCGATACAAGCATTAGAGTAAGGTATAGCAGCATATCATCAAAAGAAACTCCAACACGGTACTACTACCGGCTTTGCTTCCCATATCCACATCCTGGAAATGCCATGCTGCTTATTTCTTGTCTTGCCTGATAAGCCCCTCCAGATAACTAAATCCGGGACAAGAGCCTCAAAAGACATAAATCCCCATTCCATCTCCCAATTCCTCTCTCCCTCTTACATCTCACGCCAAGAAAGCTGTGTCGCCATCAGCTCTTCCAAAATCCCTCCCCATCACCCTCCTCCGCTCGAGCTTGCTGCACACGTGACCTGTCACCCGATTAAGATCATTGGCTTCGGAAAAAGCAACGGGAGATTTGGCAGTGCCTCTTAACCGTCAACATGACCAGCTATCCTGCTCCCACAGGCTATGCCCCTTCCTATTCATGGATTGGAGCGCCCACCGCTTTCAATGGCACCAACCCCCTCTCGGGTGGTGACTCTTGTCAGTCTACTTTCTTCCATCTTCATAACTTACTTGCCACAACCCTTTCTTTCCCGAGCTGCTACGATTACTGGATAACGGAGCGAGCTAACAAATACTCTAGCCGTGGAGAATCTCAATCAATGGTATGCCTCTGGCGACCAAGCGTACATTATTGTCGCTTCGGCCATGGTGTTGGTCATGATACCCGGCCTAGGATTTCTCTATTCGGGGCTAGCAAGGAGGAAATCCGCTCTGACCATGCTTTGGGTCACCATGGCCTCCTTCTCTGTCATCACTTTCCAATGGTACTTTTGGGGTTATTCGCTGGCATTTTCGGCACAAGGGACAAGCGGCTTTATCGGAGATCTGAAGCATTTCGGCTTGACCAACACGCTCGGTGCTCCGAGTCCTGGGTCGCCATTGATCCCCGAGTTGCTGTATAGTTTCTATCAGGTACTCAGAGCATTCGCTCTTTCAACCCTTCACTAGATGCTGATCTCTCCCTACAGTTGCAGTTCTGCGCCACTACAGCCGCCATTACATCAGGCGCCGTCGCTGAGCGAGGTCGTGTGCTCCCCTTGCTGGTTTTCATGTTCTGTTGGGCCACACTGGTCTACTGTCCAATTGCTTGTTGGGTTTGGAATATCAACGGCTGGGCGTTCAAATACGGTGTCAAGGATTACGCCGGCGGCGGGCCCGTCGAAATAGGCTCTGGCATGTCCGCTCTGGCATACTCTCTCGTATTAGGGAAACGCCAGGAGAAGATGATGGCAAACTTCCGTCCACACAATGTCTCCCTGATCGTCTTGGGCACGGTCTTCCTTTGGTTTGGTTGGTTGGGGTTCAACGGAGGGTCTGCGTTTGGGGCGAATCTGAGAGCGGTGCAAGCTTGCTGGAATACCAATCTGACGGCCATGTTTGCTTCGGCATCATGGGTGCTTCTTGATTTCAGATTGGCACGAAAGTGGTCCATGGTGGGTTGGTGCTCAGGCGCTATTTCTGGCCTGGTCGCCGCCACGCCTGCATCTGGATACTGCACCCCCTGGGGGTCGATCGTGTTGGGCGTCGTATCGGGAGTGGTCTGCAATTATGCTACTAAGGGTACGCCTTCCGCAACCTCGTCTTTGTCCGTCTAACATGTCACAGTGAAATACTACTTACGCATTGACGACGCATTGGATATCTTCGCTGAGCACGCTGTTGCGGGAATGCTCGGTCTGATGGCCAATGCGCTTTTCAGCGCAACCTACATCATCGGACTTGACGGTGTCAACACTGGCATCATCACCGGCGGCTGGATCAATCACAACTACCGCCAATTCTACGTTCAACTCGCCTATATCCTCGCCGTAATCGGGTGGGCCTTCACCATGAGTCTCATCCTAGCTTATGGCATCAATTACATCCCAGGGCTCCACCTGCGAGCATCGGAAGAAGCTGAGCTCTTGGGCATGGACGATGACCAGCTTGGTGAATTCGCTTACGACTACGTCGAGGTCAGACGAGACTACCTGGCGTGGACACCAGCGAGTACAGAGCCGCGAAAGGGTGAGGTCGATCTACCGCAACATGAAAGACACGGTATTACGGAACAGAAAGATATGATAATGGGCAGGGAGCCGGGCGAGAGCAGCAGCCAGGACAGTGGAGAGCAGCATACCGGGGTGGGAGGTGATAGGCATGCTGTCAAATATGAGAAACAGCAGCATTAAGCGTACGATCGTCTATGATGATTTAGCACAAAAGGCAAACACACGGTTCGCAATAGGGATGGATCTTGTGGTCTGGAATAGGGAGCGTTTTGGGATTGGTGAATGGGTCAGGTTGGAATGAAGTGGGCAAAGTGTCAGAATGTATGACTGAATTTGCCGGTCTTTTTTGGTGATTGTTGCTATACCCGAGGCCTTGTTCGTTTTCTTGTATTGTTGCCATTGTCCGAAAGCCCGCGGGGTGGGATGTACTAGTACGTCTAAATCTCCGAACTTCTCTTATGACACCGGCACTTTCTTCTTTTTCCTTTCCGGGCAACATACCGAGTTCTAGAGCCAATGTATCTTCGAAACCCAAGGAAGGACGTCCTGACAAGCCTACATGCATGTGCTTCAAATCGCAAGATAGGATGAAAGAGGAACAATGCTCGCCATCGCCCCTGCCGAAGATGTTGCCAAGGGTAGCAGACAAGACTTGACAGGATGCGAGTAGCGAAAACGACACCTTCGGGGCTACGGATGCTACGAATCGAGGTCGAGATCGAGGTTGTCCAGACCGCACGAGATGGCACACCAAAGACTCTCACTCAACCATCTCTGCTGCACATCGGCTTCAAACAGTCCAGGGATTGCCGTCGTCGCTCGCCATACCAGATACTTTAAACGACGTGCGAACTACTCTTGCTTGGAAAGGACTCATCTTTGCACATTTGTCGAAATCCGGGTTCTCTTCACTTTTATTATTGATATGCTTTATTCTGCTTCCCCGGGCTTTTTTGTATGTACAGCTCCAAACAGGTACTTTTTCCATTCGTCGTGCTGCTTTACCCGTTGCCTCATCTTACCCCGCTCTTGTAATCCCGGCCGCTTCGTTTAGCAGACAGTACGGTGAACGCCCTTGCTCATTGGTCTGTGCGCCTTGTGCTTGTTAACGTGGTCGACACCTTTGCTTTGGTGCTGTTTTTCAATGGTCGTTGCACCGGGCTGGAAGGCCGACAAATCCATGGGATCAGCGTTCATCAATTGCTCGGTGACGGCGATAATATCGGTAATCAGCCGGTCGAGAAGGTCCAGTGACATGCTCTCGCGGACAACAACACGCAAAATCTCCGTTTTTTCCTCCGTGGGCGGAAGTGGATAATTGGGAATGATGTACTGCTTGACACGCAGGAGAGTGCTAATGCTCTCTTGCTTGACGTGGCTATAGTCCTTTTTGAAGGCATCGGACAAGCGGAAAGCAACAACCGGGAGGCCCGCAATGTAATCCGCGCTGGTCTCGTTCTCTTCGTTGAAACCATCCTTATTCTTACGATGGATGTCGGAAACGCAGGTATCTGGATTATGGTTTCGATGTCAGTTTGGCCTATTTTAAGAGGGTACATTGAGCCTTGGAGCTTGTCTAAAGAGAAGTACTCTCATGACATATCGCAAGACTCAGCGATTTGGTCCAAAAGAGGAAACATGGACATCTAAATACGTACACCAGCCAGTAGCTTCAAGGGACTTGCTCAGGAGACGGGCATTGGAAAGGCAGTTCTCCATGATGGCTCTGAACCCGTCGAAGCCAAGGTGAATAAGATTATAGTACTGAGCGATGATTTGAGCACCTGGGCGAGAGAAGTTGAGGGTATATGACTCTTCTGTGCCGCCAAGATAGTGCAGCTCGAAGATTAAGTGCCTGGGAAGATACGACTCGTCTCGCCAGATGATCCAGCCAACACCTGGGAACCCGTCAGCATGTGGGCAGTAGCCTAAGTCAGAGCTTTTCGAATGGGCTTGTAAGCCAGGTCTACCCACCTGCATATACGAGACCAAATTTATGACCAGAAGTGTTGATTGACTTGACACGAGGGAGCGCAAAGTTCCTGTTCGTCGTTGGTATGGGTTATTCCCAACCACACTTTGGAAATAGGAGCCAGTCGATGTGCGTCAAAGAAGAGCGCAAGCACTCAAGAACGTGATAGCCTGCTGGGAGAATGACTTACCACTTTGGTCCACCAGCATGAGCATGTGTGAACGGAGCTATGAAACCTCCACTGGCAGCATCGACATGAATGGGGATATCATTCCCAGTCTTTTCCTCGTACTCATCCAAGATCTTCGAGATCTCTTCCACTGGTTCGTAGTGACCGGTGTACGTGCTACCCATGATCACAAACACCCCGATAGTGTTTTCATCAATATTCTTCTTCACAAGCTCAGGGTCGAGTCTGTACTTGCTCTTCTCGCTGACATCCAGAATTCTAGCTTCGACCTCAAAGTAACGAGCAAATTTCTCCAAAGCTACTTGAGCATTGGAGCCCATGATGATGTTTGGCTTCGTTTTGTCCTTGCCCTCTGCATCACGCTTTTCCTGCCATCTTCTCTTCATGGCAAGACCGCCAAGATGAATTGCCTCGGAAGAACCGGTCGTGGCAGAACCAATGGCGGTTTCGCCTTTTTGCACACCCCAGAGATGGGAAATAATTGAAACCTAATTAGAAGTTTCGGAATCAGTATTGCCGTGAGGAGAGGGTTGCCAGCCACGAAACATGTCCACAGACTAGCCACTCCCCAAACGTGTCTCGGGGCTTGTATTGTGGGGTGATAAGGAAGTATCAAACTTCAAGAAGACGTACACAACGGGCGTGCATGGCCTACGTACATTTTGGAGTCAGCGTTGCTTAATCAAGACACGAAAGCTGGGTTAATGACATCGGTCTCAGGAGTAGGAGCAGGGGTTCGCTACAAGACTATGTCTTGCGACTCTCAAGGTTTGGTACAAAACAGGGAAGAATAACTCTGAAATTTAGGTACCATCATGGCGGGATACTCATCGGCATCACTCATGTTTTTGGACAAATTCTCCACCATTAGGGCTTCTGCTTCACGCTCCATATAGGTGCCAACGAAGCTGGCCAAGTTCAAATTCGGCCTACCATCCAAGTCCAACTCGTCTTTCAGCATCTGAAAGACAGCATCTGCAGGAGCTCCCTCCTTGGGGATCTTGAATTTGGAGATCTCCTGCTGACTGGCATAGCGGGAAGAGTAAGGTGTCATGGTGGAAACAGCGCTCTTTGTGTGGACATGGTGCTTGTGTGCTTGGCCTAATTGCTGGTCAGAATCGGAGCAACAACTCACCCTAGTAAGTCAATGAAGCGGAGTCTGATTGGGAGCTTTACTGGGATGGTCGTGCTGATGAAGTGACTTAGTTTCGGTTGTGCAAATGAAGACGAATAGAAAGATGTGAATGCTTTCTTACCAGAGCTTGGATGATCTGATCCGGATCGACCTGAGACTAATTAGACCAGAGGACCAGAGAAGACTTGGCGAGATATTGTAGGCTACTAACATGACGTGCGAGAGACATGATGATCCAGACGGGTGAGATGTCTTTTCCTGGGATTTGGATCTTGATGAGGATTGGTGGTTTTGGTAGATCTTGGATATTAACAATTATCAGCGCGAATATAGTAGATGGCGGAGCATTTGGAAGGATGAGACGAGCGAGGAGCTTACCGCTTCCCTTAGATATTGAAGTTGAGCTTTAGACAATTGGAAGGGGTGGGAATTGAAATGTGAGGAGGAGTGTAAGTTTTAAAACTCGACCATTGGACACATCAACTAGCTGCAGATATTTCATCATTCATCATTCATCATTGCTGTCGTCACTCTCCCGAGCTTCCGAAAGCTTATGAGCCATCTCAAGCGACGCTAAAGTAATTACCTCCAGAATACTCCGATACTCGAAGTGGTTAAAACAAGTGGGGTTTTTCATTAAAACTCGATATTTAATAGCTTACGCTATGCGATTATCTAGGTAATAAATCTATTGTTTTTTATATATATAATAGCTATTAATATATTATTTTATTTTATACGCGAACTTTATATATTTTAATTAGATTTAAGCTATTTATATAAAGAATAAATAAGAGTAAAAGAAAAAAACGCGAAAATCGTTAGATTTAACTAATAATATTAAATAATATAAATATTATTTTTTAATACTTTAATATTTTTTTTAAGGCTTTATTTTCTATAATTATTATATTAAGTCTTTCTTATTTACACTTTTAAGCGAACTTTAGAAACTTTAAAATAAGAAAGATTTATTATAAGAAGAAGAAATATAGAAATATAGGCGTATATATCTTTTCTAATAGCGATATAAATTAATTTCCTCTCTTCTTCTCTTAATTAGTATTTTAATAGCGGTCTCGACTTTTAGAATAATAAATTATTTTTTATAAAGAATATTAGTATTAGAAATAAAATCTTTAGTATATGAAATAACGTTATATATTAGATTTAACGAAGATCTCGTTAGATTAACGCTATATACGCACTCCCCTCTATCGAGAATTTAAGATTATATTAATCTTATTACTTTAAATTACTCTTTTTAGTTTTCTATAATTTAGTCTTATATTATAAAGCGAATTAATAACGTGCTTTTATTATAACTTCTATAAGAGATAGTTTTTTAATAATTTTATAGACTTAAAAATTATTATATTAAATATTTCTTATATAGTAAATATTTGTAATTTAGATATAATAATTAAGAGATATTTAAATTTAAACTTATCTATAATATATAATATTAAGAGTTTTTAAATATAGTAAAATCGATCTTTTATTACGGGCTTATTTCTAAAGTCGATTAATAATTTAATAAGATATTTCGATAATTATAGTAATAACTTTAATAGTAATTTTAATCTCAGTTAAAGTAAGTACTTAAATTGAGTCTTATTATTATAATTAATACTCTAAGTATTAGATATATTAATAAAAGATAATTAAGATAGAGAATAATAAGAAGATTTCTATCTATTATACTATATAAACGAGATTTATATATTAAAAGTCTTTATACTCCCTTTTTTACGCTATAATTAATACTTTAATATTATCGTATTATATATCTATTAATATCGCTATTATATATATACTGCATATATATACTTTATATATATATATTTTTATATATATATAGCGTCGCTATTATATAGAGTACT